CCTCCCTTATCCCATAGGGTCTCTCAGTGTATAAAGTCTGATGCCCCTAATAAACGTGGGCTTTTGAGCATCAGTCAGGATCCACGTGTGTTATTATCGGCTCTGTGCACCAAGTCCATCGCTGCGGGACGGCGGCAACACCTGATTTCAGGTATGAGTTACTATGCTCAGTTTCAGGGATCTAGAAATTGTCCATCTATTTCTTACTTTTAGGATGCAATCTTACCATGACATCACTGCACGTTCCGCTTGGACCCACGTTCCTCATCGCCAGGGGAGCAGCCAGCAGCCGGGAACCATGCACTAATCTCTTGAGTGTAACAGACCAAGACGCCTCTCTCTGTCTCAGAACAGCCCTTCAGACCTTTGATTCTTACCACTCTCCAATTTTGCAGCTGTTTTTCTTTGGAGGTGGTTTCCATTCTTCGCAATCATTTCACTCTACCCTGAAGCATTCCCTTGATGCAGCGGCTGCTTTTTCTCTTAAAGCGCACCGCTCCAGCAGCACTGTCATTAGTGCAAGTGGCCCGAGCATTGCATCAGCTACCGCTCCAGCTTTGAGCCACCTATCACTTCTGAAGCATGATTTTTTTTAATGAAATCCACAGATGATTCAGGGAATTAGCAATGTCCATAAAATCACAAAGCACTGGTCTAGCTGGTAAGAGGAAGAGATGTTAAGAGGGTGTTTCTGATCATTATGACAATTCTATTAAACTATCTGACGACAATTTTTTTTTTTAATCATGGTAAGAAATATCAGAGGGGAGTTTGCCTAAATTTAATTTTCTTCAAAGTAGGTGGCAAGTGTTATGACCAGTAACTTCTGTGCCATAATTGACAATTACTCCATTAACACTTTTTTTGCAGTTACCTGTTTCTTGTTTTATATCCAAGCCCTTTGATTTTTCTCTCTCCTGTCACCAGTAAGCTTGCATTTTGTCGTTACATGTCTTTATTTATTTATTTATTTTTGAGAGAGAGACAGAGAGAGAAGATCCTATATTCAGTTCGTTTTGTCATTTTCCCAAAACCTAGAGACACAATGGAAGAGTTTAATATAATTGGCTTGTTTCAATTTCCAATGACAACAAAACCAATACAACCACAACAGTGAAGGGGGCCGGAGGAAGAAGAGCAGGCAACCAAGGCTTAGCTGATGGAGACGGATATTTGTGGAGTGAAATTGGAGAAATTGATTTATTTTGTGATCCTAAACATTTGAGGTGCAGTTCCAAAGGGCTTGCTGACTTTGGCTTTCTTTTATCACAGAAACAGGCAGCTCTTTGTACCTTGAAAGACACAAGCAGCAAAGTGTCAGCTGACCTGCCTAGAAATGCCTTTACTCTTGATCATTTTCAAACACAGATCTCCACAGTGAGCAATTTTCTGAGCAGACCTTACAATGCAGAGTCTGTTCTGCGGACAGTTATTTTAAGACCTCTGTACATGGGGCACAATGAGAAGAGAGTGTGCAGCTTTGGGTAACTTAATAAAAAGGAAGAAATTTGACAGGAAATGAAAGACTACCCAAGTTGAAAGCATATGAAAGCATGTAGCAGGCTATGACTCAAAATAAATGAAATGTCCCTCTTCCAGGTTTAAGTGACCGGCATTTACCCTCAGGCCTGCAGAGGAGATCAACTTCCAGTTATAGAAATAGGCAGAAATAAGAAACTGCATGTAGAATGTCCCTCCATAATCACAGGTCAGGGGCTTTAGGTCATCTTTCATCTCTGATTTCAGTTCTATAATTTTCTGCCAACTTGTGTTCTCTCAAGACCATAAAAATTCTAACTATGCATAAGCTTGTGAGGATACTCTAAACTTAACATTTGTCAGTATAGGGTGTGGATGTGCTAACTTTTTAAGATTTATTTATTTTTATCGGAAAGGAGATTTACACAGAGGAGAGACAAAGATCTTCCATCTGCTAATTCACTGCCCAAGTGGCCACAATGGCAGGAGCTGAGCTGATCTGAAGCCAGGAACCAGCAACCTCTTCCAGGTCTCCCATATGGGTGCAGAGTCCCAAGACTTTGGGCCAGTCACTATTGCTTTCCCTGGCCACAAGCAGGGAGCTGGAATGGAAGTGGGGCAACCAGGACAGAATCCGGCACCCATTTGGGACCCTAGGTGCATGCAAGGTGAGGACTTTAGCCACTAGGCCACCGCACTTGGTCTGGGCTAACTGTTTAATATCAATCTGAATAATCGAGTAGCCTAGGCATTTAGAAATAAATGAGTGTGGACATTGATGGAAGAAGTTGCTACATAATTAGAACTTAGAGCTGACTGCACACATGAACCCTTTGCCAGTAGAGGGAGGGATTCGATACCCCCTTGAGGACTCATGGGTGCTATTTGCTCTCAAATCCTTGCTTTGTGCTTCCCCTGCTATGGCTCAGACAGGCTGCTGCCCAGGCACCTGCAGCTGGGTGTGGTCATCATGGGTGAGAAGGTGGGGACAGGGGAAAGCCAGGATGTGACTCTGCTTTTCTGCTGCAGGTGATTCTTTGCATCCCCTGGAGTGCCTGGATCCTGTCCTGGCTCTACTTCCCATCCAGCTTTTTGCTAAGAGGCTCCCTAGGAAGGCGGCAGACAATGCCTGGAGCAGGTAGGTTCCTGGCTCCCACAGGGATGTCCAAATGAACTCCTGTGTCCTGGTTTCAGTTTAGACTATTCCCAGCTTTTGTCAGCATCTGAGTAATGAACCATCAAATGCAAGGTCTCTCTGTCTCTGCCTTTCAAATACATTTAAAAGAAATTAAAATTTCTTAAAATTCCTTAAAAATTTCTACTGCCTTGAACAAAGCTAAGCCCATAGTAAGACCTCAACAATATTTTTTTAAAAAAACAAATCAATGAACAGTAGTCAAATGAGTAGTGGTTATAACCTTCAAACTAAGGTCTCGTGATTACAAATTTCACAACTATTCTGTAATGTGGTGTGGTGTGGTGTGGTGTGGTGTGGTGTGGTGTGGTGTGGTGTGGTGTGGTGTGGTGTGGTGTGGTATGGTATGGTGTGGTATGGTGTGGTATGGTGTACTGCGCTGCTTTCAAACAGAAGATTGCCAAGGGAAGAAGTGAGTGTACCTGCTATGCGTGGTTCTAAAGAGCAAAATCAGGGCTCAAAATGACATGGAGTCACTTAAAGGAGCAGATTTTCTGATACAGCATAGCCAGCATCCTCCTACGGGAAGCTTGCTGACCCATCTTTCAGTGTGTGGTTCTACCTTCTCACGGGGGGCCCTTTCACCTGGATCTGCTGCCTGTATGACATCTGACCCCAGAGGAACTTGCTTGCCTTTCATATCTGTCCTTCCCTCAGTTTCCACTAGCAAGGCTGTGGAAGGCTAGAACACTCCGAGGGAGTGTTATAAGATGTTGTACCTAAAAATTCAACCTCAGTTTAACATTGTTATGACATTTGCTATGCGATTTTGGGGGAAGTTTCTAAGTTGCCTTACTCACATGCTTTAATCATAAAAACCTGTATGTCGGCTTAGGCTATTTCTAAAATTACTGCCAACCCTGAGAGCCTGTGGGGAGTGCTCTGGGACCAATCCCCCAGGTCTTGGGAGGTGGGGTTTGTGAAAGCCTTCTATGTGCTGTAAAGCACTTCTACCTCATTACACAGATCTGGTGTATCCATCTAACCACGGTCACGTGATTACTTCTGTGGATGTATAGCTTGAAAGTATCCAGATGTTCATGTCAGGTGGGGTCTTTGTTGAAATGCCATGTGGACCCCTGATTTACATAGAGACTACCTGAAAGCCACTGTGTGCTGGCAGCAGTGGGAATCGGAATTGAAGGGTCCCCTCCTACCCATCGCAGCACCTAGACTGCTGTGACATGGAGGTTTTCATACAGGCTGGTGTAACAGGCCAGTGCCCTGCGCAGTCACACAGGGCCAGGCACTTAGCACGGTCTGTTGACAAGGAGTAGACATTCTTTATAGACAAAGTCATTTGTGTTCTTTTGCACGGTAAATCACCAAGCCAGTCCTGGCTTTAGAACTCACTTGGGTTTTTGACAAACCAGGATATTTAAGTTCACGTGTGGCTAGTACTTGCCCAAGAATGAGCCTTCCTTCAACTGCCGAACGGTTTTACTTCTCTGAATACCCATCGGATGTGGCCGCGGTAACTCTGGAGACCCCGCGAGCTGAAGAGGACTTCTGCAGCAGCTTCCCCTGTAGCTACAGGGTCGGCAAGGAGCCTGTGGCGTTCACAGGGGCGCCTCTTTCCACCTGGTGGGTCACCTGGACCCCGGGGGCAGCTTTCTTCCAGGATGGACAAAAGAAAGATGCAGAAAGACAGAGGCAGTTAGGAAAAGAGATTGTGTCAACAGAAGGTCAAGAGTGAACATTCACAAGGGAACAGCTACCACCATGTGCCAGTTAACTTCCCTGGGTCTGAATTTACTCATCTCCACAGCCCAAACTATCACCCAGGCCTGCCCAGAACACGGGGGATGCGTGTGGTGTGTGTGCAAGCCTTGGCAGAGTCCTTGAGCTTGACGGTACCTAAGATTCTTCTCTCTTTACCCACTTCCATCCCCCAATGTCATTTAACCCCTAAAAGCTGGCCAGGGATCAAAGACCCTTGGGGGGGGGGGGGTTGTTGCTGTTTATGGAAGCTTTTTATATGTTGTGTTTCTATTGTATGGAGGAGGCAACATCTCTGGAGACCGGAGTCAGGTCTCCAGAGGGCTCCTGCCCACGGCCCGCGTCGCGGACTCGCAGGGTTCGTGGTCCATCGCAAGGGTCCCCACGGGCACAGTGGCTGCGGCTGGAGGGGGGCGGGCCCCGCTTTCGGCCCGCCCCGGGTCGGGCTCGGGATGGGGGCTCCGGCCTATGACGGGCTGGAAACTCCGGCCGAGCAAAGGGGGCGGGCGGGTGAAAGGCGCATTGATGCAGCCTGCGGCGGCCTCGCAGCGCGGCGGGGCTACACGCTGAGCCCGGACCGTTCCAGAGTCTCCGCCGCCGCCGCGCCATGCGCCCCAAGAGCCGCCTGTGGCTGCGCCTGCTGCCGCTCCTGCTGCTGCAGCTGCTGGCTCAGGGCAGCGCCTCCGACATCCCCAAGGCGAAGCAGAAGGCGCTGCTCCGCCAGAGAGAGGTGGTGGACGTGGTGAGTCCGCGGCAGCCGGGCGGAGAGACCCCTGCGCCAGTGGTAGAGGGTGGCCGTTCACGGCAAGGGGCGCACGTCGGGGCCGCCCTAGGTGTCCCCCGCCCCCTACCTTGGTCTGTGTCTGCAACACAGGACTTGGAGTGTGTGCGGGACGTGGATCCGGGTACTAGGAGGGAGACCTAGATTGAGGGGGTTGTTGCGAAGTGTGGATGGGACAGGGGTCGATGGAACAGGCCAGGTACAGGGTGGCGTCCAACCCTGTCTGGCCTCACTTGTGCGCCCCCTCGGGAAAGAATGGAGAGGGACCTGAGGAAGACTCCGGATGGCTGCTGGTCTGGACCTGGGTCCGAGCCATGCAACGTGTCCTTTGTTGGGGCCGGTGGCCGTGTCTGCCCTCACAGTGCATCGGTCCAATCCTTCGTAACTTTTAGTCACGCTAGGTCATCAGAGTAAACTGAGCTGCAATTTGCGTGGTTGGACAGCCAACCGCACAGGGGCCAGGGATGGTTCAGAGAGGGGGTTAAAGGTCGGGAGGGGAAGTGAAGAGTCCCCAACAGTCCAAGGACTTACTGCGTTAATTCTGTCAGTTCTTGCAGACCCCTGAGTCTTCAGCCTGCAGCCACCAGGTAGGAACAGCAGGGGCTTTAGCAAAGTAGAGTTTCAGAGCCAGCATATAGCTTTCAGGCTTTCTGAAGGACCAATCTGGGGAAGGGTCTATTGTCTTAAAACTTTTCCTTTAAAAGTCAGCAGATGCAGTGGAGGGCATCTCAAACCCTTCCCTGCATCAGCATCCCTGGCACACTGTAAACCCCAAAACGTAAGTCTGTAGACAAATAAAATGGACAGACAAATAAAGTGGACAGAAGACAGGGGAGGAGATAGGCTTTATGATTTTGACAGTGTTTCAAGTTTTGTTAAACTGGGGTCTTAATCTAAACTAACAAACCAAGGTCTCTTTCAGCTATTCTATGCTGGATTTCAAAGCATTAAGAAAAAAAATTCACTCTTTTGATATGCTATATAATTTTACTTTACAAAAGCAGACTATGTGTTCAGGGTTACAGTTCTATTTTAAGTGTCCATATTGTTAAAGCTGTCCCAAGTTAGTGTGGTTCATGTGCAGTTTGCATTTTATGAATATGTGGTTATGATACACAAAATAACCCCCTCTTCTCCATAGAACTAGCAATTTTTGTCCCCTCCCAAGGATTTACAGCACCCGCGGTTGCCCACAGCTCTGGCCCGGCTTAGAAACGCTGTTGTGCAGTCACGCTCAGGTGCGTCCCGTAGATCCCGCTCGGTTTTGCTGACACAGCAGCCCACACGGTCATTAAGAAAGCCACTTCTTTGTATTGGACAAAGCCTTGCTTTCATCCGCCTCGCTCTGCCCCCTGGTGGCCAAGGGAAAAAAAAACAGGGGTGTGGAAGAAAAACGGAAACTTCACATGGAAATAATCCATTTCACAGACTTTCATTGCGGCACAGAACATGTGTTGGGTTAGCATTTTAACGTGGAAGAAGAAAGGCATAGTACCTGTGGAGCCTAATCTAAAGCTGTGTCATCTCTGAAATACGGTTTTGAGATAAAAAGGTGAATAAACATTCTCAGGATCCCTCAATTCCTTCCCCCCAAATTGAAAGACAATCCAAACATTAGTGAATGACATTATTCAAATGAAAACTAGCATAAAATATATACCAACTAGTTGGAAGTGTTTTGTGCATTAGCATTTCTTCAAATATTTAAAGAATTTTTAAAAACAAATCAGGTATTCTTAGCAAATGACTTTTTTTTTTTTTATCAGAAAGGCAGATTTATAAAGAAGATGAGACAGGGAGAAAGTTCTTCCATCTGCTGTTCACTCCCCAAATGGCTGCAATGGTCAGAGCTAAGTTGAACCGAAGCCAGGAGCTTCTTCTGGGTCTTGCACAGGGGTGCCGGGGCCAAGACTTAGGCCATCCTCCACTACTTCCCTAGGCCATGAGCAGGGAGTTGGATGACAAGTGAACCAGCCAGAACATGAACTGGCGCCCCTATGGGATGCTGGTGCTGCAAAGTGAGCTGTTGTGTGGGCCCTTATGCGTGTATTTGAAAGGCAGAATTATGGAGGGAGAGGCAGAGAGAGCAGTCTTCCATCCCCTGGTTCACCTTCCAAATGGTCCCAAGGGCCTGGCAGAGCCAGGAGTCAGGAACTTCTTCCAAGTGTCCCAAGGGAGTACAGGGAACCAAGCACTGGGCCATCTTCCCCTGCTTTCTCAGGCACTTTAGCAGGGAGTTGGATGGGAAGAGCAGCTGGGACTGGAATCGGCCTCCATAGGGGATGCTAGCTTCACAATGGCACGGAAATCCCTTATGCCACAGTGCTGGCCCTATTCAAACACCTTTGCAGTTAAAATACTTTTCTCACAGTTCTTGGATCATTCCTTTTCCTAGAATCAGGAAATGGTAATGTCCAAAGTAATTAAGATATTATTATCAAAACAAGGATTAGGGGCAGACACTGTGGCATAGCTAGCTGTTTAAGTGGCCACTTGGGTTGTACACATCCCATACATGAAGGCCTGGAACTGAATCCTGACTCTGCTTCCAGTCTAGCTTCCTTTTATTTCTCCATAAGATTTTTTTTTTTTTATTATTTGAAAGTTTAGGTTACAGAGAGGGAGAGATGGAGGTGAGAGATCTCCTTCCTCTGGTTCACCCTCCAGCTGACCGCAACAGTCAGAGTGGGCCAGGCTGAAGTGGAGCCAGGAGCTTCGTCCAAGTCTCCCATGTGGGTGCAGGGACAGTGATTCCATTTTCAGCTGCGTTGCCTAGGTGCCTTAGCAGGGAGCTAGATCAGAAGTGGAACAGCCAGGACTTGAACTGGCACCATAGGGGATCCTGTCCTGCAGTTATCTCTGTCTCTCTCTCTCTCTCCCACATGAATCTTATTGGGTAGGCCCAGGAAGTAGATAGCTGGAACTCAAAATACCACTTTTATGCTGAGCAAACAGCATTGGCCTACATTCATGGTATATTATGCGAGCTGATGGGATTGCTACTGTCTCTTCTTCAGGTCTAGAACCTCTTATTTCCAGTCATGGGAGTAGACACACTTGCCCAAGCAATGCCTCAACATTGATCTTGGAGTGATCACAAGAATGATAGTGGGGCCCGGTACAGTGGCCTACTGGCTAAAGTTCTCGCCTTGCATGCACCAGGATCCCAAATGGGCACCGGTTCTAATCCCAGCAGATTCTAATCCTGCTTCCCATCGAGCTCCCTGCTTTTGTGGCCTGGGAAAGCAGCTGAGGACAGTCCAAAGATTTGGGATCCTGCACGAAAGTGGGAGACCTGGAAGAGACTCCTGTCTCCTGGCTTGGGATCAGTGCAATTCCAGCCATCACAGCCACTTGGGGAGTGAATCAACTGACAGATCTTCAACTTCTTTCCCAGGAGCTTCTTCCTGGTCTTCCACGCGGGTGCAGGGTCCCAAAGCTTTGGGCCGTCCTCAACTGCTTTCCCGGGCCACAAGCAGGGAGCTGGATGGGAAGTGGAACTGCCGGGATTGGAACCAGCACAATATGGGATCCCAGGGGTGCAGGGCGAGGACCTTAACCACTATGCTATCGTACCAGGCCTGAAAGCTGTAAATCAGATATTTCCCATGGGACTGCTATTGTGGCACAGCAGGTTAAGCACCACCACTTGACATCCTAGCACCCCATACGAGAGTCTTAGTTGCTCTATTTTCAATACAGCTCCTTGTGAATGCACCTTAGAAAGTAGCAGAAGATAACCCAAGCCCTTAGGCCCCTGCCAGTCACGTACTTAGAGCTCCTGGTTTCAATCTGATCTATCTCGAGCCATTGAAGTGTAAACCAGTGGATCTCTCCCGAACTCTAACTCTGGCTTTCAAATAAATAAAATCTTCTAAAAAAGCTTTCTGATAAAACAAATATATACATATATACATACACACACATAAATATATATGTGTGCCTATATATATCATGGTCACAATGAACTGTAGAAAGGAACAGGCAAATAAAAACATTTTATCCTCTTGGATTTGTATGTGAGTGCAAAGTTTGTGCAATAAGAATGTAGGAAGGCGGGCCCAGCGTGATACTCTAATGGATAAAGTCCTTCCCTTGCATGCACCGGGATCCCATATGGGTGCTGTGTCATGTCCTGCTACTCCACTCCCCATCCAGCTCCTTGCTTGTGGCCTGAGAAAGTAGTAAACGGCTGGCCCAAAGCCTTGGGAACCTGTGCCCACACAGGAGACCCAGAAGAAGCTCCTGGCTCCTTGCTCTGGATCAGCTCAGCTCTGGCCATTGCAGCCACTTGGGAGTAAATCAGCACTCAGAACAATTTTCTCTGTCTGTCCTTCTGTCTGTGAATCTGACTTTCCAATGCAAAAATAAATAAAAATTTGAAAAATAATAAATTAAAATGCATGAAAGAAATTGTAATATTTTAGAACCAATTGGAAATGAGTTCCTTAAAGCAAGGCATCTAGAACAAGGGTAACTGGGGTCTGAAGGGATTCCTAACTCCAATGGTACCTAAAAAGTGCAGTTATAATGTACTGAGCCTTGGAATCCAGGTGCTAACAGTTCTTCTCCTTGTCTCTCTGCAGTACAACGGAATGTGCTTGCAAGGGCCAGCAGGGGTGCCTGGGCGAGATGGCAACCCTGGAGCTAATGGCATTCCTGGTACCCCTGGGATCCCGGGTCGGGATGGATTCAAAGGAGAAAAGGGGGAATGCTTGAGAGAGAGCTTCGAGGAGTCCTGGACCCCCAACTACAAGCAGTGTTCCTGGAATTCGCTGAACTACGGCATTGACCTTGGGAAGATCGCCGTAAGTCAAGTCTGACTATTCTAATCGTGAATCAAAACACAAAGGTTTTCCTATTTGAGTGTTAATTTTGACGTGAAATCTCCTTTAAACAAAAAAGCTTTAAAACAAGGAGTACAACATGATGTAGTAACTTTCAATGTTAATTTAAAAAGGGAATATTTTAGTCCAGCTTATAAAATTACTTCTAAGACAAGTAACTTCCCCTATCATATCAACCATACTACCTAAAATAACTGACCCCCAGTTTTTAATGCCAAACAAAAAGCTGAAGAGTTGTTCACGTTGAATAATAAGCTACTTTTCAGTCTCACCCTAAGGTTAACTGAGTCGTATTAGGCCAAGAAATTCTGTCCTTGCTTCAGACACAAAAAAAAAGTGAGGAGAAATTTCTAAGAAATCATATGCTAGTAATTATCCAGAAGTGGGAAGTCTGTTAGGTCCCATCCTATTCCAGGTGGCATGCTCAGTGAAAAATTGCTGAATTTAAGGGAACTGGACCAGATGGAAGTTACTATAGGGGGCCGTTTAAATTATTCTGCAACATTAAGCAGATGGGGGAGAAGATAATTCAAAATCCTGTACCTGCCATTGTATTCTGATGAATCATGTAGTCACTTTGATGACTGCTTTCTTTGAAAGTAATTTTTGATGTTAATAGAATGAGTTCAAAAAGTTAGTGCTATTCACAAACATACACATATCCACAACTTGATGGCTATGATGTTAGCTATTATCACCACTAGAAAAAATGACAGATGCTATGGTTTTCTGGATCTCTAAGGTTTTAAGATAAAAAATTTGTATATTATCCCTACTTCCATTTCAGCTCTCTCTGCTCTATTATAATGCTGTAAACCAAGGGGTTTGATTCTTATTGGATAGAATTTCCATAGAGCTTGCACAGTTTTGCTAATTGGGACCTGTTCTTTCTTAGAAAACGTTTTGTTGAAATGTTGCCTTGTGATCTAAATGCCTGGATTTCTTAGATCCTATTTATAGCTGCTCACCAAAAGTGGCTGAATTCTAACAGTTATTGTTATGGATTCCAAATGATTAATGTTTTCATGTTCCTTTCAGTAGCAGTCAGAACAGGTCCAGGAATTTTGTGCAAGTGAAAAACAGTGGGACCAAAAGTGCTAAGAGCTTGCCATTGGAAAAGGGCAGTCTGTTCAGCAAACAGTGCTGGGAAAGGGAGATGTCTGTAACATGGAACAATGAAACTGGACCAATCTCTGACTGTGTCATTCAAAATGAATCCAGTGAGAAACACTGTGGGACATTGCAATGGGCAAGGATCTTTGGAATCAGACTGCAAAAGCACAAGAAACAAAAACAAAAATGAACAAGTGGGGTTTCATTAAACCAAATAGCTTCTGCTTGGCGAGGGAAATCATTCACAAAGTGAAGAGGCAACCTGCAGAATGTGAGCAAAATATGTACAAATTACATAGCCCACGAGGAATTAATAACCAGAAAACATAAGGAGCTCAACAGCAACAGCCACAATAAAAAAAGATTTTTTGAATGTTTTTGCAGTAAAGAAATGATACCTGTTTGAGGAGATAGGTAATATTTACCCTGACTGGACATTGTGCAATGTATTCATGTATGGAAATATGGCACTCTATAAATATATTTCTATTGTGTTAAAATGTTCAAAATCATTTTTAAAAACAGTAGGTATGTGCCCTAGAGCCTCCCAAAAATTAGATCAGATAGACAGAGGTCAAAAAGGGAAGCTTAGAACAGACAGGAAACAGTCAGCTTGGACTCTCATATACCTTACTAGGTAGGACACAAAGATCAGTTACTCCTCACTAAGGTATTGAAGATTTCTCTGCACACCCCTCCTAAAACTGTTCTGTTCTTCAATTGTTAACATACAGCATGTTTGAGTTATAAGCCTGTTTGGACTATCCTAAAATTCACAAAGTTCAGTAAAAATCACGCTTGAGTACTATAAGCTGGTAAATGTAAAAATGAAAATAGACTCGAGACAGCTGAATAGTACCCTATAACCATTTTAAGGTGTATAGCAGCCCGTTGTGTATAAACTAAAATTGAAATGTCAGTGAAGTAGTCACAGGATGTGGTTAAGAACTTGCATTTTCTAACATACTGGTCACTCAATACCAAGTCAATTAACTTCATGATGCTGTAAATAGTTGTTGAAGTTGTGTAGTGGCTTTTCACTGGAGGGGATGATATTCTGCCAGCTCTACATTCAGACCAGGGATGGTCTCCCAATGAAACTGTTGAATTTATCTGGACAGTGAGATGCTGAACTCTGTATGGTCCATGCCCGCAATGAAGGAAAGCATGACTGGATATTAACTGTACTACTGTAACAATATGGAGGAATTCAGTATGGGGGGGGAGGGCTTTTTGGAGGGGTTGGGGAAATCCTAGAGTCTATGAAACTGTGTCATAAAACAAACAAGAAACTGTAGGTCTGGAAGTGGCACTGTGTAGCAAGCCATGCGTCTGTCTGCAGCACCAGCAGCCCACATGAATACCAGTTATATTCCTGGTTGCTTCAGTTTCCATTCAGCTTCCTGCTATGGACTGGGAGAGCAGTGGAAGATGGCTTAACTCCTTGGGTCCCTACATCCACATAGGAGACCTGGAGGATGTTCCGGGCTCCCTGTTTGGGATCAATTCAGCTCTGTCCATTGTGGCCATTTGGAGAGCGAACCAGCAGATGGAAGATTCGGTCTGTCTCTTCTTCTCTATCTCTAGCTCTGCCTTTCAAATAAAACAGAAATAAATTTAAAAAAAAAAAATGGAGTTTAGGGAAAGAATGCTTCTGTAGGATTCACAATGCAATTTCAAGACCTCTTTTCAATTAAAATGGAAAATGTGACTTGAATTCTGTTCCTGCTTCTGTGACAGGAGTGTACATTTACAAAGATGCGTTCCAACAGCGCTCTCCGAGTCTTGTTCAGTGGCTCACTCCGTCTAAAGTGCAGAAGTGCATGCTGTCAGCGCTGGTATTTCACATTCAATGGAGCTGAATGTTCTGGACCTCTTCCCATTGAAGCCATAATTTATTTGGATCAAGGAAGCCCTGAAATGAATTCAACAATCAATATTCATCGGACTTCTTCTGGTAGGTACATATTAACATTGCAAAATGTGCTTCAAATTCTGCAAAAACTTATTTGGCTCCTAATATCATATTGGGTCATTAGCCTACTGTTAAGCAAGTTTTCAGTGTGCGATTCTCCACTCTGGGTTGCAAGTCGGAGTTACTTATGCATCTTTCTAAAATTAAATGGAATAAGCATTTGGCATTTGGCAGAGTGGTTAAGATGCAAGCATCTTTGCAGCAGGGTGCCTGGGTTCAGGTCCCAGCTGCTCTCCAACACTGGTTTCCTGCTCTGGTGATGGCTTACATGGTTGGGTTCCTATTATTCATCTGGGAGATCTGAAACTAGTTCCTGGCTTCCTGCATTACCAGGGCCCAGCCCTGGCCATTGCAGACATGTGGGGAGTGAACTAATGAACAGAAGGTTTCTTTTGCTCTCATGCTCTCTGTCTCTCAAATAAATAAAATTAATACATAAATATGTGTTTATGCAAACATATAAGTATATACACACATTTTAATATAAATGTCTGGATTTCTTCCCTCACCAACAGACTCAAAATCTTTACAGTTTAGAGCCAGAATTTTTTTAAAGGCTTATTTAGTTTTATTGGATAGGAAGATTTACAGAGAGGAGAGACCGAGAGAATGATCTTCTGTCTGCTAATTCACTCCCAAATGGTTGCATTGGCTGGGGCTGAGCCAGTCTGAAGCCAGGAGCCAGGAGCCTCTTCCGGGTCTCCCATGTGGGTACAGTTTCTCAAGGTTTTGGCTCATCCTCCATGGCTTCCCCAGACCATAATCAGGTAGCTGGATAGGATGTGGAGCAGCCAGGACTCAAACCAGTGCTCATGCAGGATGCTGGTGCTTGTAAGGAGGAGTTGTCAGTTGAGCTACTGTGCCAGCCACAGCATTTGTCTTTTTCAAAAGATCTCTTGGTGATTCTGGTGTGTTTCAGGGTTGAAAATTTCTAAGTTCAATGAGATAGCAAAACAGCCAGTAATATCATAAAGAAGGAGTTCTTAACCTTGGCCACACATCAGGCTTCTTTGGGGATCTTAAAAAGACATCTTTGCCTAGATACCACTGCTTCAGGGGACCTCGGGGTGGCCAAGGCCATGGAACTTTGAACAAGCTCCAATTATTCTGTTGTGCAGCCACTCTTGCAAACCACTGGTTTCCACAGATCAGAGGACTGACTGGTTGCCCTGGCTTGTCCTTTGCAAGAGGGGATGTCTGCTGAATTTATAAAGGAGAATTTCCTTATCGTTCTTGTAGTCACTGCTTCTGCCTAGGAAAAAAGGAAAAGACATTCCATCAAGTTATGGTTCACTTAAACTCTTAGGGGTGGGTGGGGAATGTTGGTTTGTTTTGTTCTGTCCTATGATTCAGACAATGCCAAAGAATATAACGGTTTTAAAATGAAACAAATACCTATTCATCTCACCTCATAGGGAAACTAATATCAGTCTTTGCTGGTTATTTTTCTTGACTTGCTGTGGGGGTGGGATGCCATTCCTGGCAGGATCAGAAAGTATGCATATTGCTGTTTCTACTGCCCTCATTTCTTGTAGGGACTGCTTACTACTGCTGCACTTAAAAATGACCGAGGAAAGAGACCTCTTATTGGTAACCAGAAGAAATGATAAATTCAGGTTCCTCGGGGGATATGCTTCAGATAATGAACATCAAACATTGTGTTTTACATATTTATCTTGATTTATTTGAAAGGCAGAGTGACAGAGAAGGACAGGAAGAGAAAGAGACAGAGATAGAAGTCTTTCACCCTCTGGTACACTCCTGCAATGGCCAGCACTGAGCTATGCTGAAGACAGCAACCAAGGACTTCATCTAGGTCTCCTACGTAGAGGGGCAGAGGTCACTTGAGCCATCATCTGCTGCCTTCTCAGGCACATGAAGCAGAGTAGCAGGCATTCTGACCAACATTCAGATGTGAGATGCTGGCATTGCAAATGTTGACTTAACCTGCTATGTCACAAATCCAGCCCTAGCAAATTTTCCAGAAATTAGAAGCCAGCACCTGGGCAGAAGTCACTGCTCACGACACCAGCCTTCCATATCAGTGGCCTGCTTTGAGTTCCAGCTACTTTCCAGAATTCCTTTAATGTGTATCCTGAGAAGCAGCAGCTGATGGCTCAAGTACTTGAGTCCCTGTTACTCATGTGGGAGACCTGGATGGAATTCCAGGCTTTGGTCTGTCCCAGCCTGGGTTATAGCAGGTGTTTAAGGAGTTAATATGTACATGGAAGATAAATCTGCTTCTTGCTCATGACCATGGAATCACTGTTCAAGACAGCAGGAACCACAGCCGCACTCTCTCATATCCCCAACCCACGGTTTGAGCAGATTAGAAAGTCTCGCCTGACCCATCCCCAGAGTCCCTAGGGAGAAGTGAAATAATTTCTAGTCTGTGGGTGCCACTTGACACTGCACTGAGAATATCAGATAAATTGGAGCTGTGAGCCTGCTGCTTAGTTCTCCCAGCTTTGGAAGAGACCTGATCCAGAGCCAGACCCCTGGGTTCTGAGAGACTTGCCCTAGATTTATGGATGAGCAAGAGCTGACAAAAGCAGGTTGTTTCAGACCTGCAGACCCACAGCTCTGCTGAATACACTAACCTCAACCAAGTAAGAAATCTTGGCAGTCACCTGAAGTCATCCACCCTACTACTCAAGTGTCAGGATTCATCATAACCGCAGACACTCTACAATTCTTTTTTCTCTTTTACATAGACATCCAGAGTACCCTGTTTTATGCTTGTTAAAACTGACACTGGAGGAATTATTTATTTAATATTGTAGGAGAAGAGTCTTGGTAGGATATAGGTTGTATGTTAGTCTTGAATTTAAAGCCCAGTGTGTATTGGAAAGAGCTTTCCTAAAAATGGACTTGTATATCAAATAAAAATTTGGGCTTTTAGAAAATGTAGGCTTCCTCTGCTTAGTCAAATACAGTGTGTATGTATGTGTGTGTGTATGAGAGAGTATGTGTGTGTTTTAGGCTACTTATAGTTAAAGAAATTCTTGTTTTGTGGTTGACACATGTAAGGAAGCTGGCTTTTTAGCATATGCTGCAGAATGTCCAAATATGTATCTTTTTAAAAACATTTGTATACCAAGACAAAAAGAATCTTAATAAGAACCTTTATAGAGTATTAGATGTTTTAAAATTAGTCTTTCTTGGAAACAACTATGATCTAGCTTTCTAAAGTAGTAAGATTTGCTAACTCTTTAGAAAGAACAGCTGTAGGAAATCTAAACTTTGACCTCTGTTTTGCAGTGGAAGGACTCTGTGAAGGAATTGGTGCTGGATTGGTGGATGTTGCTATCTGGGTTGGTACTTGTTCAGATTACCCGAAAGGAGATGCTTCTACTGGATGGAACTCAGTGTCTCGCATCATTATTGAAGAATTACCAAAATAAACCTTTAAAAGTTCATTCCCTACCTCTTATTATATCCTTAAGTGGCATATACATCTGAAGGAAGAAAACCATAGACCAAAGTGTGATTTCACACTTTTTTAAAATTTAGAACTATTCATTTTATTTCAATAAAAAGTGGTTTGGGGATTATTTTAGTTGATTAGAATGCTTTCCTCTTATTCTCATTCCCTGAGCCTATGATTTGCAATGTCATTGTGATCTCTAGTTTTTCCTATTCTTAGTGTTTTTATAACATTTTTAAAAATATAAAAAGTCTTTGTATAAGTTGTAAATGTTTAGAACTTATTTTACGTGTGCCAAATAAAATTTATTTCAAATGACTTTATTATCTTTAAGCTAATTATCACTAACATTGGAGTTTTGGTACTTTGGATCTGAAAGGTTGTATAAATCACCCATTTAACCATCATATTATTTCTTACATGTGTATAATATGGTTTATTTTAAGGGATACAAGGACAAAAAGGTATTTATGTGTCAGGAAATACATCAGCACTTTAAGAATTTTTGTAGAACAAAAGGTGAAAAGACCTGATTGCTTGTCATTTAGAAAAGAAGATCAGATATAAAAACAGCAATAAATCAAAGATGAGTGTCTCAAGAGTGGTGTGGTTGAGCTGAACAGGGATCCCTTCCCACTGCAGGATCAGAAGGAATCCATGACAGTGTAGGTGGAAGACTGATGAAAGTTAAGTAAATTTTAATAGAGTTGATTCTTTCTTCCTTTACGAAACTCTACATTGACTTAACTCATACTTCACTCTTGTTGAATTATTTTACTTCTATTGCCTTAATTTGTACTTTTTTTTCTTCTCTCTCGTCTCTGACTTAACTTTCTTTGCAATTAGATCTCTTCTCATGGCCCTCTCATTTCTATGCTGAAGAAATTGCAAATATCACCTCCATCCCCAGTTTCCTCCAGATGTTCACTTCCAGCTGCATACTGGGTGGCTCTGCTAGGCTGTCCCACTGTTAATGCAAACTAGGCATGTTCAAAGCCACCCTCTGGTACCCAGATCTCCTGCCTTCCCTATTACTTGTTTTCCAGTATTTCAAAACTGAAACTTTTGACATCTGATTCTCCTCTATATTCGCTTAGAAGTCCCTTTGATTCTCTTCAGACATTTTTCAAATGTGTCCTCTTTCATTCTAATGGTCACCAGCACACTACTTGAGTGGTATGACCATCTACTGCAGAGGATGTAAGCATGAGAAAAAAAATACCATATTGGTAGAGCAAGTTCTTCAGTGGACCTGTAAATAAAGTGGCCCAGTGGTAGGAATGGAGGCCATGTATGTAGAGTGAACAAGGTGGAATTTCCTTTATCCAGGGTAACCTGGTTAGCCTTACTACTGCGTACTTGATTTGCCAGCAGGAGAGACCAACGAGAGACCAACACTGAGTCCTTAATAAGGCAACTTGCCCTAGTGACAGGCTGGTTCCATCAGACCTTTCCCACCATGTGGGGCAGAGATGTGTCCTCCGTGAAATCTACATATATTTTCATATAGATTTACCTTCTCTGCTCACAATACTTCTGTTAGCACTAACATTTGTAGATTCACCAAATGCTTTCTGCACAGCATTGCTGCTGATCAAGACACTGCACCAAATAAAGAGAAACTGCAACAAAGGAGCCCACTCTGGAGCTAACTGATCTCACCAGACACCCCCAAACCTGGCAGTGGTGAAAGAAATGGCTTTATTAAAGATTCATTATCAAATCAGGAGACAAGTTCCTGATAGAATGGGATTCTGTTTTATGGGATGTGGTACATACTTTGGAAGACAAAGCACTACAGAAGTTTATCTTTAAAAGTTCTTGGAAACTGGAAATAAAATATGTTTACATTGGCACAAAACTTAAAATTTATGCATATCTTTTCCAAATATGCTTTCTTTGTGAAATTTTGGCGACCCTTTGTTTTTCCTATGACCCAATATAAATGGTAGAAGTATTAGTCAATAATTCTCTATTCTCTATGGAACCAAGAAATTAGATAGGTGGTATGAATAAGTGATGGTTAGATGAAGAGATCTACTAGAGGGATTGGCTAATGCTATTAGGAAAGCTGATCATCCCCCTAGAGGCCACCCGGCTGGTGATCCAGGGAAGCTGTTGATGTAGCTGTGCTGGGAAGGTCTGAGAATTAGGCTGGGATCTGCAACCAAACTGCAGTGTGCCCTCTTCCAAGTTTGTCTTTCCTTGGTTACCTTCTCTCAGCCATAAGGTACTTACTTAGAGCTTTGTTAACATATTCATAATACTGTACATAATGTAAAAATTCTTCAAGCTTCACCCACTTAGTTCACTGTTGTGTTCTTCCTCCTGTTTGGACCTAAATTGATGGAAAGGTAGTTACCTGATTGATATCCTTGTTCATTTTCTGCTGTAGTCGAATATCACTGAGTTTACAAGAAAAGCAGGTTTATTTGGCTCATGATTCTGAAGACCGTAAGATGTGATGGTTGATGAGATCCTTCTTGCTGGTGGAAACTGTGCTGGTCCGGGGGGTAGACGACATCATACAGGGCCTCTTCTCATGAAGCCAGACTCACTGGATGAGCATACAGCTCTATGGTCTTATTTTACTTGAATAAACTACCGCAGTCAGACTGAAGGTTCTGTCCTCTTACCGTCTCACCACAGTACGGCACTGCAGCATAAGTTTGGTGGGGACACTGAAACCACAGCAGGCAGTTTAGGACAGGAAGTGAGCATGAACAGCACTTTTTCCTTGGTCATAAGCTCCTTACACAGAACCATTTTGCCCAATTCCTCCTTGCTTTAAATTTTGCAAGGGCAGGTCCTAAACAGTGTTATCTGTGGCTGGATCAAAATATCTGTGTGATCTGGGACTTAATATATTTTTTAAAGATTTATTTGTTTTTATTACAAAGTCAGATATACAGAGAGAAGATCTTCTGTACAATGATTCACTCCCTAAGTGACTACAATGGCCGGTGCTGCGCTAATCCAAAGCCAGGAGTCAGGAACTTCCTCCAGGTCTCCCATACAGGTGCAGGGTCCCAAGGCTTTGGGCCGTCCTCTACTGACTGCTTTCCCAGGCCACAAGCAGTGAGCTGGATGGGAAGTGGAGCTGCCGGGATTAGAACCAGCGCCCATATGGGATCCTGGCGCCTTTAGGGCGACAACTTTAGCTGCTAAGTCACGGCACTGGGAATTAATATTAGCCTCACCACTATTAAAATAATATTCCATTCCCTCTACTGCTTGTCTGTGTCTTAGATAAGATATGAGTGTGAACCATCAAAAGCAGTTTGCTGCTTTTCCTTTTGACATGCTGAGTGTAAACTGGTTTTATAACTTCCTTGCCTTGAGGAGACAATGACATAACTAACATAAACCTGTCACATTTGATATCATAAAACATTATAGGGAAAATCAAGATGGCAGAATAGGGTAAGGACATGCTTAAATAGATGGAGAAGAAACATTAGCCAGGATAAAGCAGAGGGCACATTCCAGGAAATAGGAGAAGACAGATTGACAGCAGAGGGACAACTGGAGACTAATGGACACAGGAAAGCAGTGGAGACAATGGTGTGGTGTTGTAGTGACCAGATACCCCCAGCGGCATTCAGCCAGCAAAGATCTGAATTCCACCAGCACCCAGGTGGGAAGGGGAGTTCACTGGGAGGTCAAGAGGTGAACTCAGTGAAAGAACAGCCCGTCCTGCTGGTTTATTTGATTTGACCAGGAGCAGACAGAACAGCAGGTCCCAAACCAGCAGTGTAAACAGGGTGGATTTCACAGCTCAGACCCGTAGCAGAGCCAAATCGGGTGCCATTTTGTGTAGGGAGAAAAAGGACTGTGCATGTACTAAGCTGGGAGTGAACTTGTTTCTGACTCAGTGATTTGCAATGACGTGGTATCCTACAGTTTCCACCCAAAATAGGTCCACGTAGCCCCCAGACCTAACAACAAGCAGATCAAGAACTCAACGAGTATCACATCAGGTGCCATTTTGTACAGTCTCAAAAAGGATTTGACACTGCAGGGACAACAGTGAACTGTTTATGCAATGAGCTGGGAGTAAACTCAATGAACTCAGTGCATTGCACTGGTCCCACAGGGAAAATAACACCAACTTTGGCATCCTACAGGTCAAAATAGGTCTGTGTGGCCCTCAGACCTAATGGTCAACAGGTTTCAGGAAGATTAGCACCAACAGCCTAGCTATTTAGGACACATGGTGTTTCCCTAGTCCTGGGAACTGCTCAAACCGGAAGTGGGAGAAAGGTACAGACAACATTGCAGCCTTAGCATGAGATCACAGGAGGTGGAGAGTGCTGAGCCAGGAGCTGGCACTACGGAGACCAAGGTGAAAGTCTAACATAAGAGCCCAGATCTGAAACTCACTGGAGGGAGTAGCAAAACTGACTGCAAACAAAGAACCTTGTACTAACCACATTAAGTAAAATCAAATTGCAGACTTGTGGGTGACACAGCTTAGAAACCTGCCCTAAGGAGAAGAATCTGCTAACCAGAAGTACAATGACCAAGAGCAAAAGACAGAGGCACAATGAATATTACTGAAGACTCCTCTGCAAAGGGGCAAATCTTTGCCAACCTCAGAGTTAACTGAGGAAGACATCAAGAAAATGGGGGATACTGAATTCAAAACACTTGTTATAAAGTTTCTTCTTAGCAGTGAGAAGCACATGCAGGGATTTAAGCAATATGTCACATATAAGATAGCAACACTGAAACAAAATCAAGTCAAATTATTGGAAATGAAGGATGCAATAGAACAAGTTAAACATTCAGTGGATGTCTCAATGGAATGAAGGAAGCAGAAAAAAGAATCTCAGAATTGGAAGATATTTCTTGTCACCAGGAGAAAACAAGAAGTTCAAAGCAGAACTGGGTCAAGCTAAAAAAAAGGTATTCGAGAAATAAGAGACACTACTAAAAGGCAAAATATAAGAGTTATTGGAGTTCCAAAAGGTGCAGAAAGAGAAGCTGGATTTAAAAATGTATTTAATGATATAATAGTAAAGGAAAATTTCCCTAATCTGGACAAAGAATTGAAAAACAACATGCAGGAGAGGCACAGAACTCCCATCAGGGTTGAACAAAAGTGATTTTCACAACACATGATAATCAAGCTCTCTTCAACCGACCATAAGATCCTTAAATGCCATGTGAAAAAAATCAAATTTTCTATACAGGAATGGCAATTAAATTCACAGGAGACCTCTCACAGGAAACTCGATGGGTCAGATGTGAATGGAATGACATATTATAGATTCTAAAAGCAAAACATTGTCAGCCCAGAATAACATATCCAGTGAAGCTTTCCTTTTTCTTTGAAAATGAAATAAAATTCTTCCACAGTAAAGAAAACTTAAAATACGCCTCTTCCAAACTTGCCATCTAATGATACTTAAAGATGTTCTCTTGACAGACAAAAGGAAGAGCACATACCAAAACCAAAGGCAAGTGTGAAGAACATCCCAGTAAAATAACAGAAGACTAAATCAATGAACAACCCATTGCTAAAATGACAGGACCAAATTACCACCTATTTATATCAACCCTAAATGTAAATGACTTAAACTCATCAATCAAACTTCATAGATTAGTAGGCTGGATTAAAAAAACAAAACCCCATCTGTTTGTTGCCTACAGGAGACACATCTTACCAAAAAAGATCAGTGGAAATTATATCTCATGGATTTCGATGCCTTTGTCTTTACTTTCATTTCTTCAAAACACTTTTTTCCTCATCAAATTCTTTACTGACTCATAGATCACACAGCAGCATCATTTTCTTCAAGAAGGTTCTTGATTTTCTTTTTCATTTCTTCAGCGACATGTTAGTCAATCAGTTGCATGTTATTTAACTTCATGGCATTGTAAATTTCTATTTTTTTCTGTTGTTGATTTTGTTTTGCTGCTTTTCTTTCCTTTTTTGTTAGGTAGCTTTTTACTTAAGGGGATGTAAAGTAACTGTGTAATATAGACTATCATATCCAGATGTGAGGATAAAATGCAGTATGCATCTCTACTTCCAGATCAAAGATGGACTCCCAATGAAATGTTAAATACATCTTGACAATAGGATGCTGGATTCTCTGCCATTGTCTATACCTACAATGATGGGCTTATGACTGCTTATGAAGACCTATACAATTGTAATACTATGGGGGAACTCAGTGGGGAAGAGGGGACCGGGGGGGGGGCGGTTAATTGGAATCCCAGGTCCTATGGAACTGTAAAATGAAATGATAATAATAAAAAATGAAAAAAGAAAAGATTTATAGAGGTTGAAACCTCAAAAATGTTGAAGTTAAACTGCAGCTACTAGATGTCTGATTTTGGCAGTTATCTGACCTTTCTCTTTGTTTTCCTTATCTAGAAAAATGGCCTAATAAAGTGTACCTGACAGACTTGGAAAAAAAATGTAATAGGAAGAATTTCCAAATTATCCAACTTTTCTGTGTCTGAGCCTTCCACAAGAAACTTTTGCTATTTTTCTGTCTTCTGCTCAATTATCTTTCTTTATGCTTCTCATAAGAACAGCATTGTTACAGGTACTTCAGAGTCAGTTCCTATTTATTCCTTTAGAAAGTATCTTAAAACTTTATATATTTTCTGCATGTTACTTAACACATTTGTAGCAGACAGGCATAGAGGTGAAGTAATTATCTTGCATTAGCTTGTAATTGTAAAAGACGCTTTGTTGTGAAAGTGGCAATAGTGCATACTTTATTTGGAAGGTTTTATATTGAATAATGTATGCACCTTCAAAACAGAATTCCTAACTGATGACTCATGAATTAAAGTATACTTCTTAAAGCTGATGTTTCTTTTAGTGTGGTGTTTAAAAAACATGCCTTTTTAAATACCGATGGGCCACAAAAGCCCAACGTAATGTAATACAGCTTTCTTTTCAAAGTTTGGCATCCATCATTAGATCACATGCTCAGGTGCAGAGTTCCAGACAAGTTTGTTTGCTTTTGGTCTGCACAAGTCTTTTCCTCATTTCTTTCTAGTTCTCATTTTAGTAATCTGCTGGTTTTCTCTTAGCCAATTTCATCCATTCTTCCTTAGGCTCAGAGAGCTTTTTCCAAGCTAAAGTTTGTGACCATTTTCTATTGACCTCCAAAATATAAGAAAGAAGAACCCTTAGTGAAATGAATCCCTGTAGGTTGCCCCACCCGCTGAGTTGCCTGCAATCTGTCTTCAGCCTTTATAATTTGAATGTGGTCAAAGTGATCGGAGGCATCAATCTTCGCCCTACTGAATTATTGACACAAATGATAGCATCTTCTTTCTCGAATTTGCTCTTTTCATCTGATTGGTCTTCCTCTGTAACCCATGTCTCTCTGTTTTAATCACTCACTCCTCTTTTCTCTTTTTCTCAGTAAAACCTAAATACTGAGAGTTCTCTAGTTCTGGCCCATCTTTGAGCTATCTCTATTTCATTGCCACCTTGACTGACAACTTACTGCTTCAGAGAGCCCACATATGCTTTCTTTGCCCTCTTTGACTGCATCAACTGTGTACAAACTACCATCAGCTCCTGAAAAACTTCTTAACTTGGATCCATGCTTCTCTTGCTTTGCATCCTGATTGATTCTCCATTCAATCACCAGATTGATTTTTCATGAAGTTAAACTTCACCCCTAAGATTGTAAAGCTTGACAAGGTCTGGCTGCTAGTAATGTTTACTGGCTCAAGCCCTGGTGGTAAACTATTTATTTGGGTTAATTCACTTAATTCTGTCAATATCCTCCAGCCATGTGCCTTTAATATCCTCATTTGTGACAAGCACTCTTGGTAACCCAGATTTCTTATAGAAGACTGGTAGACCCATGGTCCAGGTACTGAAAGTGTTGGCCTCAAAGAGCTCACAATTCCACCCTAATGTGGAAAACACCTCTTGGCCAAGGACAGGCACCCTGGCATCCCTCCCCATTGCTGCCGTCTAGACTGCCTGATGTGGGAACCTAAGGGCCCATCCACATGCTTCTGTGGGCAGGCCTTCTGTGGGCTAATTCATTCTGCACAGTGGCTGGTAGGGTCAGGCTGAGGCTTTTGAAATTCTGTACCTGACTTAATCCTATTTCTTTTGCTTTATTGAAATTTTCTCCTAAAAGCAATCCCTCAATCACTTGTCCAAGGATCCCAATCTGAGGTGCTGGTACCGAGTACCTCATTTATTTACAGATGAAGAAACTTCAGACAGAGGTTGAAATGATTGCTTAAGTTCAAACAGCAGAAAAGCTGAGACTTGAAACCAGACAGTCCAGCCTTCCAAGCTTCTCTCTTGGCACACCTTACAGCCCTGTTTAATCCTGTTTTAAGGCCTTCTGTACTTCCTATTCTGTCTGTTTTGAATGTTTCCTATTTCATTGTGGCTTGCTTCCTCTATTATCTCCTAAAATAGACTTTCCCTGTCTCTAATCATCCTAAGATGTCCAAATCTAGTTTTTTTTAATGGTATTTAATACCTGAAAGCAGACTGAGGCAGGTGTTGTGGTATAGCATGTTAAGCCACTGTTTGGGCTTAACAGATTGCCTGCAATCAAGTTCCAAAACTGTATCCCATCCACCTTCTGGGAGGCTACAGATGATGGCCCAAGTCCTTGAGTACCTACCACCCAGCTGAGGACTATTTAAATAGTTTTCCCGAGTTGTGGCTTTGGCCTGACCCAGGCCCAGCTGCTATATGCATTTGTGAAGCAGTAAAAGGAAGCTCTCTTATCTCTTATCTGTCACTCCTTCATTTAAATAAATACAGCTTCAATTTTTAAAAAGACCAATAGTCTATTATGCATATATTTTTTGATTTTCTGTAACTTACACTAAAGTGAAAATTAGGAGGGCAGGAATGTTCTCATTGTTATTGTTTATGTCAGAACTCTTACAGGGCTTGTAGAAATTTTTTCATTGTATATTCTTAATTTAGAGCTGTGGGTAACTTCATGCATATTTATTTACTACATAATCTTGTATGCTTTTTGAGGACAAGAATTATGTTTTATTAAAAATTGGGGGGTAATAGGAGGTATTCAAACAATGGTTCCAAATATCACTGTAGCTCATCTGCTTTGTGAATAAATACCAAGATGCTATATGAATTAAGGCATTACCTGGGAGTATTAAAAGAAATCACACTTAATTTATAAAACATCCCTAATAATTGTATACGATATAGTAAATACAATTAGGCACTTATCGTTTTACCTTTATTTTAAAAACAATGTCATTTCAAAAATACAAAAAAATAGACCCATTTTCAAGGAACCATTTAAATTTGGCTTTAAAAACCAAATATTTTATTTACAACAAATAGAGAGTAAACAAGAGCACTCAGAGATGTTTATAATAAAATGAAATAATTACTCTGGCATTCTTTGAGGTCAGGCCTTTATATCTGTAGATATCAACAAGACATATCAAAACTCAATTATGATCATTAATGTAATGTGGATTTCAACCTGATTTTAAACAACCAGCGTAGATTAATCATTTATTTGGGATCCTGGATCTGTGTATCCAAAAACCAAGTGAAAAATTTCTCACTTGCATTCAGTCTAACAAACACATCCCAAACATTCCAGCATCTGTAAAAGATGATTTATTGAGCATCGCCATTAAATTATTTAGTAACATATGCTAATATTAGCTGATGAAGCTGTGTCCTAGAAGTTTAAATTTTCTAAGTTTAAAGATACTAAACCATCTATCAAAAAGAGAACTGGATCCAGGATTACAGTTTAAATTATGAAAGTCTCTGGGAGGAAAAAACAGCTATGAAATGACAACAGCTCTCAGATATTTCTCAGAGAAGTATTTAACTTCTAAAATATATGTAGCTAGTATGTTCCAACTGAATTAAAATTAAAGCACAGTTGCAAAGAATTTTATCCTAACACTTCCCAATTCTGAAAGGTCTAGATTTGGTCCACCCCTTGTAAAGTAAATCCTTAAAATTTAATTTTCCCTTGAGATATGTATGACTTACTAGAAGTCATTTTCTTGCTATTGCACAACAGTCAGTTTTAAAGCCAATCCAGGCAAATGAGTTCAGAAAAAGCAGCACATTTTACTAATCCATTTATCAAACTCTACACTTGGTATCCGTTTTAACTTTGTATTGATGGTGGTCATTTCAGGCAGAGATAGCAAGTCCCATTCAAATAGCGAAGGCAAAAAATCAGAGAAATATTGTGGAGATTCACTTCTTTGACTTCTAACGGTTACAGATCCATTTTGTTTATGAGCCATGCTGCTATGCAGCATTCTTTTGGGTTTTACATCCCAAATACAAGGAGCTTTTTGCTGCCTTGGGCAGATATGTTGGAATTACCTTCTTCCAGGTTACTTCCTCTTTTCTCTAAGGTCAAGTAAAAAATGTGAGACATTTTCATACACCACAAAGGTAATACAGCAGGCTGGAGTCACTCTGATCAAATTGGGAGCAATTCCTTTGTAAAATCCACCGATGCCTTCCTTCCTTTACAGGGAAAAAGTGATGTATGCTTAGTTTCTTAACATGCTAGTTTGAAAATGCAAACGTTAATTGCCTTTTTTGAATTATTTTAAGGGTAAGAACAGGCAGAAGCTTTCACTGACCTAAAGCAGTCATTGGAAGTCGTACAGCTTTCATAAATGTCACACAATACTAAATACAGCATATCTAAACATACAGAATTATTTGTTAATGTTTACAATACATGATATGGTAGGATTCTGTCACTTAAGATAAATTAAACTTGAATATTTCATGGATTGAATTCAATTTGACTATTCTAAATATTCTGCCCTGGTCTTTTACAATTAAAGGGAAATGTGGAGATATTTACTTACCTTTCTATAGCAGCTGAACTATTTTCATGTTGAAGAACATGTTTCTCTTCTAAACACAGGGACAAGTACTTACAAAACATGCAGTACCAGCGCCTTCTCAAATGTACTAAGGTAGGCATGTATCTTTTTATAAGCAGTGCCATTCAGTGTATACCTAAATTCTGATTTACTAGTTTTCAAAATACTTTTATGTATCTCAATTTTGTTTTTGCAACAACCTTGTCAATTCAGTCTAATTTTACAAATGAAGCCTTAGAGAAAATAAGCCCAGGGTTATCTAGGTAATAAATGGAAAAGTAGGAACCACCAGCCATGATTTCACCACAGCACATATTTACACTTTCTGCTGTAAAACCCATACTAACATGTGCAAGGTATCTTACTAGAGCAACTTGTTCATACCACATGCTCTCACCTCCAAGTCCTCGCAATCACATCAGTCACACCTTGGTAAATCATATGTTGATCCTGAAGACGAGCTCTCACAACTTGGTATGGGTATGTTGCTGCTACAGCAAATATTTTAGATAATGCTGCAACAGATATATATTCCATTGTACTCTGAAATGACAGTACAAACCATTTATGCTTTTCTTTAGACAGAAATGAGACATACACATTGATAATAAATAGGAAAAAAATATAAATAGCTTCCTTTTAATATGAACTATACAATTAATGGGTTCTATTTTTAACATTTGTGTATCTTTAGCTTATAAATATTTAAATAAAGTTAACATTTATCTTTATAGAAATACTACCAGAGTGTGACAGAATTTTCACTCATTAAATGCCAAAAAAGGAAAAAAAAAGGAAACAATATCACTTTTAAAAGAATTCTCTTACCAGGTGGGCTTCAGGCATTCTATTGAGGTGTTGGTTGTACTTCAATTTCAGTAATTCATAGGCCATAAACTGAAGTGCACCATGAGATGTCCCAAATAGCCCAGGAACAAATCCCTAAATGGCAACAAATTTAGAAAGACCAACCAAACAATATATTTTCAAAGAAATGATGCATATATTTTAAAATATTTTTTCACCCCTCTTATACAGTATTTTAACCAAACTCATTTAAGTTCTTTGTAAATTCTAAGTCCTTATAGAAGATTAAAAATAGCATTTCTACTTTTTTAAAATTAACAACTGGATCTCCATATTTTTCTTTAAACAGTATACATACTAACATAAAGACCTACACTATTAAGAAATGGGATATAAAAGGGAAAATAAATTTTAGAAAAATCAAAAAAATCAAGGTAATAATTAAATGGACTAAGCATCAGTATCCGACAACAAGGCAGTAAAGATGGGGGAAAAAAAGCACAGAATTGAGTGAAAGTAATTCATAATCTTATAAAATATAAGATTTAAAAATGCATTATACCATTCTTGGAAAACAAACTAAAGTTCAAGCTCTAATTTGAATTTTAAGCTAAATATGGCCTTAAAAAATATTTTATCTGAATAAGTAAGAGATGGGAACATGAGAGGGAGGGGGAAAAGAGGGAATATAAAAGGATATTACTGCCATCAGGAGGGGGATTTCAAAAATGCTATCAAGAAGGATCTGGTATATTTTTGGTACTTTTAAATTCTTAAAAATCCTACTAATTATAAGATTCTACTAGGCCCACAGAACTCTTTTACACGCTATATTTCCTAAGTTCCCTGGAGACCACACCTTCCAAGGAGTATGGTAAAGAATGGGCGACCTGGTTGCGTTGAAGAATCACTTGACAAAGTTGCAGACCGTTCTTAAAGCTACCAGTGTCAAGAGTACACAGCTTGTGGAGGTGAAGAGAAACAGCTTATCACACCATTTCAGCACTGATAAGCTAGTCTTCAATTTTCACAAATTGTTTCTTGCCTAAGTTTTGCTTCTTTTTAGGACTGATGTTAGGTAATTCAGAACTGAAACCACAGAGACAATGGAAATGACAATTTTCAGTTATTCAAAATAAATAATAAATCCTTACCTTATATAATCCACGCACACCTTCATACTTATATATTTTCATAAGTGCATCAAACATTCCTTTATATTGCCGCTGTGAGGAACTTACAACTCCATTATACTGTAACATGAGGCGAGTTTTTGTCACCCATAATGGATTTGTAATGCAAAGGGTCATGGCTCCTAAAATGAGATTTAAGCAAATTACTCAGCACATAGTATTGCTTGCTTTTTTACAGTTCAGATTAAGAACAGTGCATTTACACAGGGGATGGAGGTGTACAGGGACTGTACCTGGCACAGGGAGATGTGGTCTTGGAGACACAGTGTTAGGGATAGATGGTAGATTAAGTTTTTGTTGATCCTAAAAAATTCTTTACATAGTCAGTGAGAGGTAAGTTAAAAAGGAGTTTCTACCCTCACACGTTGAAGGATATAAGGACAGAAAAGGTATTCTGACCCCTACAATGTGGCCTGACATACAGACTAAATGGTAAGGAAATACCATCTTAAGAACAGGAAATGGCATACACCAGAGGTGGGGAGGGGAAAGAACCAGGAATCTAACATTTCAGTTATTTATGTATGTGCACATGTACATATCCATCCCAGCCTTATCATAATCTTCCATAAATCTACTCAAAGTAAGCTAGTATTCCCTTAAAAATGAAATAACTATGTAATGTAATAAGTTACACATCACATTTCATTAAAAAAATAATCATTTTGTAAACCATGCCATCTGGTTAAGTTTACCGTTTGCTAAGTGTTCTTTCACTACACAAGTATTTATTCAGCCTTGTTATAAGCTGGATTCCTGATAGGAACTAAGTATTTTAAAATGAGTAAGATTAGTTGTTGCCTTAATCAAGATGCAAGCTTTAATAAAACAAGCTGTGGGGCTGGTACACTGGTATAGCAAGCTAAGCTTCTAACTGCAGCACCAACATTCCTTATGGGTGCAGCTGGTTCACATCCTGGCTGTTCTCTTTCCATTTAGCTCCCTGCTAAGGCTTGGGAAAGCATTATAGGATGGCTCACATCCTAAGGCTCCTGCACCTGTGTGGGAGACTCAAAGGATGCTCCTGGTTCCTTCAGATTGGCTCAGCTCTGGCCATTGTGGCCATCTGGGGAGGGAACCAGAGGTTGAGAATTTTTTCAGTTTCTATTTCTTTCTGTAACTCTACCTTTAGAGTAAAAATACAATAAACCTGAATAAAAAAAAAGAAAGAAACTAAGCTGTGAATTACGAAAGTTTAAGATTTAAAAAGACTTATTCCCACTATGTTTTTCATTCTGATACAAAACATGCATAAGGGAATGGAATTAAATAATGTAATGTGACTAAATTATGTAACCTTTGAAAGCGTATTGATATCTACAAGTATACCTTAACAACAACAAAATTACACTAAATCATTTCAAACTACTATAGTTTTATAATTTTTCCAATGAAGAATGCCTACATTCTAAGAAACCTCATTTGCTAAATGATTAATATGATTATAAAAGACTATTTAAATTCTGGTGTTCCAAGAAACAAGGCAAACTGAACAAACAGTAAAAATGGAAGTCGAGTTTGTAAGGTCACAGATGGCCTTACCGGCTTCAGCAGCTGAGACCAGGTATTCTGTCGCCTGTAACCGTTCAGCTCTTCCTTCTGTCTTATAGGACTTGATGGCATTGTAACTGAAAAATTACACACAAACAATTTGAGTAGGTGTCTTAAAACAGTAATCTGAATTAAGGTATGTGTAACTTGGGCCAAGCGCAGTTGTCTAGTGATTGAAGTCCTTGTCTTGCAACTGCTGGGTTCCCCATGTGGACGCTGGTTCGTATCCCGCCTTCTCCACTTTCTTTCCAGCTCCCTGCTTGTGACCTTGGAAAGCAGTGGAAGATGGCCCAAAGCTGTGTAGGAGATATGGAATAGGCTCCTGGCTCCTGGCTTCAGATTGGCTCAGCTCTGGCCATTGTGGCCAGATGTAAGAGCTTTCTCTCTGTCTCTCCTTCTCTCTGTAAATCTGAATTTCCAATAGAAATAAATAAATCTTTTTTTTTTTTTAAATAAAGTATATAGAAGTTAACAGTACCCCAAAAGCAAAAGTCAATGTGTAATGCAACCACAAAATAAGAACTTGTCAAGGATGGACATGCTGGTAATTGTTTATTGTTAAGATTACACCCAGTCTCCATACAAATGTATATGGTTAGCAAGCAAATCTCAAAAACGTTAGTCACACACTCAGCAATTAACTAGGACAGGAAAACTGGTAGCAGGCAGGGTTACAGTTGTGCAGAGATTGGACACAAAAGGCAAAAGAGATCAAAGAAGGAGCACTTAACAAACGTGCTGAGCACCCAAGTTCAGGCACTAAGGCTGGCTTTTCACAAAAAGGTAAGCACAGCAGGGAGCCTTCTTAATAGAATACCAAGGACCATTAGTGATGCATAAACAACCTTCATAAAACACAGCAATGCAAGAAGTTCACAAATAGATCACAGAAGACTTTGAGCAGTAGCCAGCATTGAACTTGGTACTGAGAGGCAGGGACAGGGATGCCAAGGGCGAAGACACAGCCAGGGTGGATGGGAAGAAAGGGAACATTGCCACCCTGCAGGGGAGCACTGAGACTTGGGTTTTATTTAGCAGCAGATAATCGCTGAATTTTTCTCTGCAGGTGTGTCAAATCAACTTATTTCCTCTAACTTTGATTTCTACTTTTTCTTGTTAGAAGACTTCCGTTGAAAAACATTAAAATTTTTACTACTACCATTTGAACATTAAATAAGGAAAATGTTTCATCATATGGCTTGTCCTTAGAAAGTCCCTTGGAGAATCTACATAACCCAAATTCATACAGAATATATATGAGTAAATATGTAAAGTTTCACACATCTAAGCATGGCTTGGGACTGAAAATAAGAACAAATATTTAATTACTACTAAAGCTGAATTTTATTTGGCTTTCCCTAAAAAAAAAGTAGCTTAAGATTAGTTTGGACACTGCCATATGCTTATTATAAAATGCATGACAAAGGAGATAAAAAGCAAATATACTAGGCATTGATGAATACGAAGCGTAAGCTTCTTCATTCAAAGGCTCAGTTTCAAATCCTAGTGGGTGCTTAGAGCAGTGTGTGCCCCGTACTGTATGCCATGATGCCCTTTTACATTCCAGGAGCTGCATGTGCCCACCCTGGGAACTTGGTGTAGCTTCTCCAGAAGTCATGTGGTAATAGTTATTTATGTGGTGATGGTAACTGACAGGCCAGGAAGTGAGGCTGGGAAGAGGATGGAGTACATCAAATCAGGGGAATGAGCCAGTAAGCCTCCAGCCCCAGCAGCAACACCGTGGCGTCTGCGTTTGTTCCTAAACAGTTATCTTCCGAGGTATCAGTTCCCCCAAAGACTCCAAGGTCTGTCTTCTTCTACTTTCCAACTTCGTTATGAATCAAATGTACTTTTGGAAGATATCCCTGAAAATGTGGTAGAGGCGAAATAAGCAACTGTCTCATGATACTTCAGAATTTACGAAATCTGCTCATCTGGGCTCGCTCCAACTGAACTCTCAAATGGGGAGTAACTTACTCAAGTGATCTTCCTTTATCAGGATGGATATCCATAAAAATGAAAATTCACTCGGTTTCAGGGTCCTCCAATTTCTGCCAACACTTTAAAAACTTATTAAGTAACAAATTTGACTGATTCAACTTTTTCTAGTGTGTTTTGACTCAGACAGGTTCAAGAATACTGATATGGCCAAAATACCTAAAAAATACTCAAGAGGTAATGTAATTTCATTTTGTACTTCCTGGAGTTAGCTGTTTTTCAAATAGTTTTAAAAAGCTCTGATGTTAAATAACAGACTGATGGAATTATAACTCCTTATGAAGGACTATACTATTGTAACAATATGGGGAAAATCAGTTGGGCAAAGGGGGATTCTGGGGGCAGGAAATCTCAGATTCTATGGAATTGCACCACAAAATCCAAAATTAAAAATTAAAATAAAAATGCTCTGATGTTGTATGTGCATATTCTACTTATAAAAGTAATCAGCAGAACAGTTCACCTTCTTCAATTTATCTCAGGGAGACAGCTTCTGTAAAATTATTTTCCTATCTCCTCCCTTCAGCTTTTTCCTATTAAGTAATTTTTCCCAGACCAAATGCCTGTAATAAGAACTGATAGAAAATAAAGAAGCCATTCTGCTCTTCCTGACCCTTGAAAATCCAAATTAAATGACTCATCTTGCTAATTTATCAACTGATATATAACAATCACCAAAGCAAAAATGATTAATGCTATAATATCTCCCAGATCTACTCACAAGAAAAAGTAGAGTCCCCAGGATAAACCTGCACCCCACACATTTGGGGTTACTCCTTGATACAGTCCCCGTAGTCCATCAAGCTTCCAAATGGTAGTCAAGCAATGTAAAATGCCTTTATATTTTGGTCTCAGTTCCAGTCCATCACTCACTGCATTGAAGGAGAAATAAAATAAGAGCCAAGTTGTAGCTCTGAGCCACACATAAATAGATAACACACTGTTTAAAGATCAACCAAAACAATTTATTTTCCAAGACTATTTAATGCTTAAAAATTAATTTTTATAAATTTATCCAAGTGTGTATTAAAGATATATTATGCACTCAAATAATATTTTAGGAAGTATTTTAGTAACTCTTCACACAATCCGAAAGCCTCTTTAAATAAACCTAACACTTTTTTTGTTATCAATATACATGATTAAGAATTTGCTTGCATATTCACATTTGAAAATACCTGTCCCAAAACAAAATCACCAAGAGACTCAATATCAAGGATGCTACAAAGATCCAAAGAGAGGCAGAAAAGAAAATGTAGAGGCTACAGTAAAATACTTCCCTAGAATTCTTTCTATTTCACACCAATGTAAACACAAAGCAAAATCAGAATAGAAAGTAGAGGGGCCCAGCGTGGTGGCCTAGCAGCTGAAGTCCTTGCCTTGAATGTACCAGGATCCATATGGGCACTGATTCTAATTCCGGCAGCTCCACTCACCATCCAGCTCCCTGCTTGTGGCCTGGGAAAGCAGTCAAGGACGGCCCAAGGCCTTGGGACCCTGCACCTGAGTGGGAGATCTGGAGGAAGTTCCTGGCTCCTGGCTTTGGACTGGCACAGCACCGGCCGTTGCAGCTCACTTAGGGAGTGAATCATTGTACAGAAGATCTTCCTCTCTGTTTCTCCTCTCTGTATATCTGACTTTGTAGTAAAAATAAATAAATCTTAAAAAAAATAAAAAGAATAGAAAGTAGAAATGTATTTCACTTGAATGAATCCAAAAATGAACTAGTCTTCCCCATCCTTAAGAAGCTGCTCTTCAAGTGTCTGGATGAGTGGATGCGCTCGGGGAGACTGTCAGCCAATGGACCTTGAATTTTCTCAACCTTGGACCAACGAAACCAGCAGCGTCTCTATCAAAAAAACTATCAAAACCACTCAAGTAATAAATACCCTTGGACTAATTCTCCACACTGGAGTTTCAAGTGGACATTCCCCATCCCCAGGTACTGACATAGTTAGGCAGCTGGGAGTGGCCTCCTCCTCCCTTCCTCCCTCCCTCCCTAGAAACAGGAGAGACGGGAAAAAAAGGAAAATTGGAAGCATTTGCCCCACACACCTTCCCCCATGCCTCAACCCTCCCCACCTTAACCAATGCTCCTCATGGGCGTGTATCCTTGTCAACTATATAAAAAGCTGCTCTTATTCTAGTGTTAAGTAATGACAAACACACAGCACTACCATCTAGGCCTGTGTCGGATACCTGGACACAATCCATGAATCTGTCTCCCTTGCATCCTCTCTGATCAGTTAACAAGAAACCTTTCTTAGTCCCTTCTACATCGCAGTTCACAATGCCATCATCCTACTTTCAGACACCATCAATTTTCAATCAGCAACGGCATTTAATCTTCTTGTCAATTTTTTGCGGGGGAAAGCAAAGCATAAGACTGCTCAAGTTCTTGGAGCCCTGCCACCCATGAGGGAGACCCAAAGGGAGTTCCAGCTCCTGGCTTTGGCTTGGCCAACTCTAGTCATTGTGGCCATTTAGGGAGTGAGCCAATGGATGGAAGATCTCTGTCTTTGCCTCTCTTTGAAATTCAGCCTTTCAGAAGTAAGTCTTAAATAATAAACTTGACGTCTTCATACTCTGTCAAGGTGGGAAATGGAACATTCAAAATAGGAAATGAGGGAATGCAAGGGACTACTGAAAGACTATTCAGTGAAGTGTGAGCAGGTATTCAAAACCACAGAGAAGAATGCAGCTATTAATGGTTTCTTTGTTATATTAAATATCTCAGCAATAGGCGAAAAGGATTAGGAGCTTGAGGAGCTTGACTTGGGAAGGAGGGGAAATAGATTTATTGTTGGATGGGTGAAAACAGCTGGTGCAAATACAAGATGTATCATACAGCACCTGGCACCATCGTGGAGAACAGTGAGGATCTGGTCTAGCTGAATTAGGCTGGAAAAAAGGGCAAGGGCCTTTTAGAAATGTACCACATTTCTCCAATATTCATAAGTTGAAGACTTAATTCCCAATGTGACTGTATCTTTGAGGAGATAGTTAAGGCTAAATGAAGATATAAGAGGAGAGCTTTGGGCTGAAGGAACTCATGTCCTTACACAAGGCTTAGACACCAGGGGAGCACGGCCATCTCCCAGATTTGAGGTCTCATTAAAAACCACGTCTACAGACTCTTTGCTCTTGGATTCCCAGTCCTCACAACTGGAAGAAAATAATTTCTCTTGTTAAGCTGCACTGTGGTATTTTGTTTTGGCAAGTCTTAACTGCTAAAAATTTCTGAAAATCACACAAAAATGTGGTTATTATCTCAAACCTTGTATTTCAAAAACCTAAGTCCAAATGTGCTTAAGATAACCAGTACGTTTTCTTGAAAGGCAATTCTAGTGGACCCAAGGAACATGACTCTGAAGGTGGAAAACCAAGAAGAAAGTAAAACAACTTCATGATTGTCTTAAAGAGATATTCCACTAAAGAATTCATATGTACGTCTAAGCACATCTCACAAAACTTTCTCAGGCCTATAATCGCATTAAAAGATGCTAACAAGCACAAGCTAAAGATGAAAAATGTTTGGTGAATGGGACGGAATCAACACAGGGAACACTAATTTTGGAGGAAAGATACGTAATGACTAAAAAATGAGCAGGCAGCAATGCTATCCTAATACAACTTTATTCGCTGGACAGCAGTTTTAATCCTTTTATCTGCCACAGATACACTGAAACTTGTGTGTTAATAAAACTAATCTTCTCTGCTTCCACTCTTTGCCAGTATTTTTTTTTTTAAATCACAAATGGGTTAAGAAATAAGTTGAGTGGCTTGCACTGTGGCATAGCAGTGGAGTGGATAATGCCAAACCACTACCTGCAACTCCAAGATCCCATATGTGTGTTTGTCAGAGTGTCCGCTGCTTCACTTCCCATCTAGATCCCTGCTAATGACCTGAAAGCACTGGAAGGTGACCCAAGTGTTAGGATATTTGCCACCCATGTGGCAGACCTGGATGCAGCTCCTGGCTTCAGCCTGGACCATTGCTGGAGGGAACCAGCAGATGGAAGATCTCTGTTTCTGTTCCCCTTTAGTTCTGACTTTCAAAATAAATCATCTTTTTCAAACAGTTAACTATGCAAATTGCTAATATTATTCTTTAAAAGAGATTGCAATAAACAAAAAAACAATGACAAATGACAACTTAAGTGGCAAGGATAACTATTATTTCACAAGGTTGAAGCAGGGGTATGTTTACTGTGTGTAAGTGTATGCAACATGGATAGCAAAGGCAAAATGTATTTCCTGTTAAGGGTTCTGGTCTGGAATGTTTGAATATTACTCTAGACACTGTTTCCTTTCAGCCCCACTTTCCCCTTAGAAGCCCAACTATCCTCCATCCTCCTTCTCTAATCTCCTTCTCATCAGAATTTAAACAGGTTTCACTCTGCTGAGTTAAGAGTCTCCTCTAGGATCACTGTGTACTCCTATTGAGGAAAAACAACAATCTCCGCAGGAACTTGCTGGCCTCTGGGCAATCAGGTTCTGCCTCACTCACCAGTTCAAGTGCTCTCCTCAAGGGCCTCGAGTACACTTTGGAAGTCCTCTTCACACACCCCTTAGCAGTACCTGACTTTGCTGACCTACGGCAGCTTCTTACAGCATGTTTCACACCACACCCTCCTATCTTTGTGTGTGTGTGTGTGGGGGGGTGCATTGCATTTCTTGTCCTTCTTTTGCCCTGTGCATCATCATTCAACTAGCCCCCACCCCACCCCAAAAGAACTCTTTCCAATCAACAGGGGGTGGCTGTCCAAACACTAGGTAGAGTCAGCTGCCAGGCTGCTTTCATTTCTTTGTCGCTAGTCTTGATCCCATTCGCAACATCCCAGTCCTGGCTATTGCTTTTACATGGCATAAAAGATCCGTTAATCTGTGAGCTTCTTGACTTTCTGGAGTCACTCTTTATTTCCATCTCTGGCAATGTTAGCTTGCCCTTTAGCTAGGAGCGTAATGAGAAAAGTTCTTTGCTCATTGCCTTATCCTAGTAAATGTTCAGTGGAATTACTTTTAGTAATGATCATTATTTGTGCATGCATCATAATCTCCAGGAAGCTATCTGCCTTTCTGGTGTTTTTCCCTAATGGCAACCTTCCATCCTTTTACTGATTTTCTGTCCCTGAGTGGCTTCTTGCCTCTCCTGTGGGGAAACCTTACCCTCTAAGCATCCATGGAACATACAGAAATACACCTGGCCATCAATCACCTTCATAGTCCACTTGCATGCCTAGGGTTTAATTTACATTTATTCCACTTTGCCCCACATTTTATGTCTAGATGTGTCTTCTAGGTGACAAAGTCCCTTCGAGAGCAATACTCTATCAGGTATATCTGAAGCCCATACAACACCTAATCCAATTAAGATAACTCAAAAGGTTGGTAAAGTTATCAGAGGTTATCTTTGAAACTGTAGATATGAAAAGATTAACTCTGGTCTTTTTCCGGAATCTGGTCCGGAGCTGAACTTACCAGGCTGTATTCCAAACAGAGGATTGTGTCCCTAACCATCTGCGAAAATGAACGCCAGATCCCGGGCGCCCGCAGTTTCCTTTCGGTATTGCTGCCAAACACGTGGCTACCCTAACGATTTCACAGCACCTCCAGTGGAGACAAGTCCTTTCTAAAGCTCAGTGATCCCTTCCTCAATTTACAAATCAGGATCTGACTCCCACCTTCCAACCTCAGCCATTTGCAGATTTTTGAACGCACACTCGCCACCCCTCAGTCTTGGTGGGCATGGGAGTCAGGGGACAGATGTTTTATTCGGGGTCCCACTCCCCACCCCAGTCCCCCTTCTTCAAGTCTAGTTCAGGAGAGCCAGGACAGACCCAACATCTCCTTTTGAGTGTACCCCCCGCCCCCGTCCTACCCCACCACCCCCAGTTCGAGCTGACAGGCAGAAGTAGCGGTCTCAAATTGCGGTGGGCTCTTACCCGCGAAGCGGATCTTCACGAGGTCCAGCGGGTGCAGCACCAGGTTCGACAAGACCCCGCCGCTCACGCCCGCCACCAAGTTCTCGTAGCGGACGTGGTAGAAGACCGTGCTCCACGGCGACGATGGGGACGCCGACTGTCCCTGGCCGGTCATGGGCTCGGGGCCCGCCGACACCACGGCGCCCAGGGCCGCGGAGGTAGTGGGACGCGATGCAGTGGCCGCCACCGTGGCGACAGACCGCGGGCGCGAGCCCACTTCCGGGGTCGGCGAGCTGAGGGTCGTGCCCACTCGCGTGGCGGGGGCACTCGTGCGCGCACAGCAGGTGCCCGGGCACAGCCGCCCCGACGTCGCCGCCGAGAGCACGCGAGTGGCGGGTTGCCAGGCTCCACCGAGTCCCCGCCCCGCCCCGCCCCGCCCCGGCGCGCCAACGAGGACCCGAGCGCTCCGCTGAGGAAACGCCCCCTCGTCAATCTCGGCAGGCGTCGCTACGAAGCGCCGCTGGAGCCAGGGGCGCCGGTCGGCCGACTTCCGCTCCCTGCAAGTACGTCACGGGAAGCGGAAGTCGCATGTGCGGGAGGTGGAGGCGGTGAGTCCAACCGGAGCGGAGAAACTCGTGGGGTCCGGGAGGAAGAGCCGGCGAGATGAAGGTGAAGATGTTGAGCCGGAATCCGGACAATTATGTCCGTGAAACCAAGTTGGACCTGCAGAGAGGTAGGGGCGTCTTCCGCGAATGCTGGGGTCTGGCCTCGCTCTCTGTGGAGGAAAAGCTATATGTTTGGGGGGCGGTGCTGAGGGAAACCCAGCGCTCCTCCCCGGGACAAGGCTCGTTCTTGCCTCATTTTCCTTTTCCCAAGGCAAGCGTTGACAGCTGAGGCCGTTGGAGAACGGGGTGGCAGAAGCCGCTGTTGTCTATGGGGGGAACACTTCCGTCTCCCCCTGCTCCACTTCTGAGCTCTGTCCTGGGGTTCCCATTGTTGAAGTGGAACTTGAATGGGTCAGACTCGTGGAGTTGAAGGATTTAAAAGTTAAACAGGCGTCTTTAAGCCTGCCTGTGGCTCTCATTTCTGACCACTTTACCGCTTTAAATTAGAATCTTAATGGCTATCGGTTTTCTCTTTAGCAACAACTCTTAGGGAAAGTTTGAGGGGGAAATGGGCAAGGTGGAATGAATGAGGTAGGTTTATCCTGCCTCCTCTGCTGACCACATAGGAGTGAGAGCTCATGGTACCTCGATGGCAAGAGCGGATGGAAGATGCTAGCAGGTGTGAAGTGCTGAAGCGGCCTATGTCACTGCAGGGTAAAGGCGGGGGTATTAACTGAGGAACCTGGCGTCTCACTATTTTGAGTACTGGAAATGATCATTGTATCTGTGAACATTGCTGGCAGAGAGATACATGCTTCTGCTCCCAAAATGTTGACAGGGTTATGCTGACTTGTAGTAACATTTCTAAAATGCAGATCTGTCATTGGTACTTGACACCATCCCTCATCCTGGACCCTGTGGTTGCTCCTTCATCCCCACTTTCACCCCAGGGAGGGTGTGTTCACCCTGGCCCATCTGAGTGTGCCTTCAGGGCATTCTCTGTCAAGCTTCCTGTGCCAGATGCCCTCACCCTGTGTAGCAGCCACCACAGGAAAGCTCTGAACACAGACACTGCACACTCCCTCCTGCCATTTGAACACATCTACATTTCCATCACGGTTTCTTATACTTCTGTCAGTGTTTACCACATTGTCTTGCGATTGTTATTTTGGTTAACAGGGTGCTTCCATCAGGATAAATTTGCAGCGAGGAGTACAAGTCTGTTTTGTGTATACACTGTGATTAATCAGCAGCTGGCACTGTTTCAGTGTTTGGAAGTGGTTAATCTTCTGGTCTTTAAAAGAAAACCCATAAAGTCTTTGTTTTTGAGATTGCTTTTAAAAAGATTTGTTTATTTAAAAGAGGGAGGGAAGGAGAGAGAGAGAAAGGGAAGAGACTGACCAGCCAGCCATCCACTACTTCACACTCTAGATGGCTGCACCAGCTGGGGCTGGGCCAGGCTGAAGCCAGGAGACAGGAGCTTCTTCTAGGTCTCCCACATGGGTATCAGGGACTCAAGCACTTGGGCTGTCTTCCATTGCTTTCCCCAGGCCCTTAGGGAGCTGGGTTGGAAGTGGAGTAGCTGGGTCTGAACTGGCACCTATAAAGGATGCCAGCACTTAAGGCAGCTGGACTGCCTGCTACACCACAATGTCAGACCATCCCCTCCTGTTTTTTTTTTTTTTTTTTTTTTAGATTTGTTTATTTGAAAGAGGGAGAGACAAAACGAGAGATCATCTGTCCACTGATTTGCTCCTTATATATTTGCAGCGTCTGGTTGGACCAGGTCAAAGCCAAGAGCCTAGAACTCCATTGGAATCTGTCACGTATGGGTCCTGAGTGCTTGGTCCCTCTTCGCATTGCTTTCTCGGGAACATTATCTGGGAGGTGGGTCAGCAGTGAGGCTGCTGGAACTCCAAGCACTGCTTAGCCTGTTCCTCCTCCCCACCGCACCCTGCCACAACACTGGCCCCAAGGTCTCCCTCTTTTACTTTCTGGTAGAAAGTTGGTAGCAGGATGGAATGATAAAACTTTGAAGTTCTGTAAAACATAAAGGGAGATGCTTTTACCTTCCTTTATTCTTTCGTTTTTATTAAGTGTTATTTTCTTGTAAATATGTAATATCAGGTACTAGAATAGGGCTCAAGAAAATTCCTTTAAAACTTCCTTGGGCTTCCTGCAAGGTAACACCGTACATAAATATGTGGTTTATCAACTGTACTGTTGTCAGTGCTTTATATGTGGCAAGTGCTTCTACAGTGTTTATTGTTCACTGGGTACGTGAATTTGGAGGTGGACATGATCACAGTGATTTGAAAAACTTTATGGAAGACGTAAGATTTAAATTTAGTATTTTTAGAATATGTGTAGGGTTTAGATAGATTTGGATGAGAATTACATGTACTTGGTGGAAGAAATGATACACACAGGGAGGAATGCTCAAGTGAAACAGCTCCTCACGAGCATGAGTCCCAGGTGGGCTTCTAGCCACAGGTTCTGGTGCGGACCCTGTGAGGCAGCAGGTAGGGGCTCTAGCACTTGGGCTCTTGCCATCTGTGTGGGATACCCAGCTTGTTGGGTTCTGGACTTCCAGCTTTGCCCTGGCCCAACCCTGGCTGTTGCAAGCCAAGGGCAGTGAACCAGTAGCTCTCTCTTGTCTCTACCTTTCATGTAAGCAAAAATAAAAAAAGGAGTTTCAACCTCATTTGATTAGTTGAAAGTGTCTATAATTGGTTGTCCTGGCTGTGTTGTAAAAATAATTGAAACTTCAAGTTTTTTTCTTAACAATTTTTATGCAATACTTGAATTTACATTGATATTTTCATCTCTGCTGTGTATTAATTCACATATCCTGAGGGTTGACAAAGGTATGCTCGTGTCAAAGTACTGCAATATTTTATAGTTTCATTTATTAGGAGGTTATATAATATCTTAATTGAGATAATCTTTACCAATTTGTGAAGTAATGCTAGGGACCATGAAAATGCTTTTTTCATGCAGAAGTTCCTTGGTTGTCACATCAAAATTTTTAACCAAGAATTGTAGAACATAGAATGAATAAAGCACTTATTAGATTTTCTAAACTCTTCTGTGGCTGTGAATACTGAGTATTTTTGCTTCGGCTGCTTTTACTTCTTTGAGAAAAATAAAACATAGCCTATTCCTTAAGAATCCATTTTAATTTTGGGCAAGAAAGTCGTTTTCAAATAATCTTGTGCTATAGAGAGACTGTTTTCAAAAATTTATGCTTGGAGGTATTCCCGTTGCTCAAAATATTTTGTACTGAAAATGGTGAAAAGATTTGAAAATGGAAGAATTCACTTTTGCCTCTATGAAAAAAGTGGGGACAGTTTTTTTTTTAAATTAGAAACTATTATTACAGTTATAGCAATATCAGGTAGTTGTGGGAACAGTCATTGACATCAGAGAGATGGTAATTTTCTAAACAAACTTTGGAAATAACTTTTGTAAGATTAGTGGATGGGACTGAACATTAAAGAGTCAAGTATGTTTAAGTCCCCGTGGACGACATCTTAGATCTGCTTGCCTGTACAGTCAGTCCCTCCTCACTGTGACAGAGCATGTTCACTGAGCCAGTCCTACTCCGTGAGAGCATCACAGTAACGGAGTCAGGTCTGTTATCACAGAACAGTCCCAGTGTACACATGCTTCTCTTAATACAGCAGGCTGCAAAATCAAGTCCTGCCTTTGTCTCCTTCAGCTCTTACAGCTATTAAAATCAAACACTGAAATAAACCGACAGGACAATCTTCAGTGTTAAAAAATAGACTCCCAGAGGGTAAATGTCCATGTGTTGGGAAGAGGTATGTTCTTGAAAATTATATTGCTATTATTACCATTGGGGAACATATTTAAAGTTTGGAACTTTGAAAGTTGGTGGGCCTGGGAGTGACATGTTAAAAAGCTATGTTTTGGGCCTTGCATAGTACCCAGAGTGGTTAAATCCTTTCCTTGCATGTACCAGGATCCTATATGGGTGCCAATTCCTATCCTGGCCACTTTTCTTCCAGCTCCCTGCTCATGGCCTGGGAAAGCAGTAGAGAACGGCCCAAAGGCTTGCGACCCTGCGCCTGGTGGGAGACTGGAAGAAGCTCCTGGCTTTGGGTCAGCTCAACTCTGGCCATTGCAGTCACTTGGGGAGTAAACTAGTAGATGGAAGATCTTTCTGTCTCTCCTTCTGTCTAATAAAAATAAATCAATCTTTACAAGAAAAGCTATGTTTTAGGATAGTTCATCTGATGCCTGTGACTTGGACTGCCACCAAGATGAATGGGTGTGGTATTACAGTAGTCCCCATGTAAAGTAATGAGGGCCAAGACTAAGTGACTAAAAGGGATAATGAATTAATACTTCTCAACAAGAATGAATATAACTTTGATTTTGTTATTAGGAAGGATGGAGTATAGAATTAACTAGGAATGTACAGTTTCAGCTTTACTATGCATTGAATATGATGTGCGCATGCAGTCATGAATAAGACTTCATGTCACCCTGCTCAAAGAAGATGCATTTATTTTCACACATTGAGAGTTTTTTGTTTTGTTTTGTTCTATGTTTTTGTTTTCTTAAGCTATGAGAACTTAGAGTTATTTTCTAAGTAAATATTAGCTGAGACAGTGTGTTTGCATCGTGGTTTCTGGAGCCACACTGCCTCTGTGGCTCCATCACCATCTCAGCAAATTACTTCGCCTCATTGTGCCTCGCTTCCCTATCTTGAAGACAAGGAAGAGCAATAGAACTTAACACATAGGGTGCTGTGGAGATGAAAGGAGTTAAGATGTTTGGAACAGTGCTTGACACGTGGTGAGCTCATGTGTACTTCAAATAGATAAGCATGCATGGAAGAGCTAATAAAGAGCAACTATGTAATGCAGTGATAACCACTACAGTGTATCCGTGGGGCTTAGCACCAGGGATGAATAGTGTTCTGGGCCCCACAAGGAGTTTACAGTTCAGTGTGCATTTATCATGCAGTTGCTTTGTGCCACAAGCTGTGCTAGGCTTAAAGCCCATACAGGAAGAATGTATTGTATATCTTGACTGAGAACTTAGAATTCAGGTGAGGAGTGTAGTAGAACATATGGAAGGAAGTCTCTGAATTTTGTAAAAGTGTAGCAAAACATTAAAAAGGAAAAGCATTCTCTCTCCCTTTGTGTATGAGTGTGCAGATGTAGTCTGTTTTCTATGTATGCATTCCCTTATTTCCTGGTCATTTTGAAAGGTTTCTGGCAACAGGTTTTTTTTTTTTTTTTTAAGATTTATTTTTATTATTTTTTCGTTGGAAAGGCGGATATACAGAGAGGAGAGACAGAGAGGAAGATCTTCCGTCCAATGATTCACTCCCCAAGTGAGCGCAACGGGCCGATACTATGCCAATCAGAAGCCAGGAGCCTCTTCGGGGTCTCCCACACAGGTGCAGGTTCCCAAAGCTTTGGGCTGTCCTTGACTGCTTTCCCAGGCCACAGGCAGGGAGCTGGAAGGGAAGCGGGGCTGCCGGGATTAGAACCGGCGCCCATATGGGATCCCGGGCGTGCAAGGCGCCGGGCCTTTAACCACTTGCGCCACCGCGCCAGGCCCGGCAACAGGTTTTAAGCTGTTGAATTCTTCATGGAGTTTGGTATAGAACAGAGTGGTGGATTAAAGGCTTATTGAGTAAATCGAATGTTTAGCTAAGGAAACCCACAGGAAATATTAAACGTGAATTATTTAATTCAGAGGAATCCTTCTTATTTCAGTTCCAAGAAACTACGATCCTACTTTACATCCTTTTGAAGTCCCACGAGAATACGTGAGGGCTCTAAATGCGACCAAGCTGGAACGGGTGTTTGCGAAACCATTCCTTGCTTCTCTGGATGGTCACCGTGATGGCATCAATTGCTTGGCGAAGCACCCAAAGAGCCTGACGACCGTCCTTTCTGGGGCATGTGATGGAGAGGTCAGTGCTGCGTAAACATTGGTACTTCAGACTCAAGATGGTTGTATTTCAATTTTTTTTAAATGTATTTTAGCTATCTTACTTTGATTTCAGTTTAATTCTCTACTAAATTTTGTTTGAAATGATAAAATTATTAGCTTGTTACTAAACATAAGAAACTATAAAGAGAGCAGCTTAAGACTTAGTTTGATAGCAAGCAAAATAATTGTTCATATGTGAGTTTTTCCCACAAAAATTGTTGTTAGTAATTCAACACTCAGTTTTCCTTCTCTGGCAGGAAAAAGTTTTGAAGTTCTTTAAAGGAGCATTGACAGACATTTGACAGATTGCGTTTTCTGTGTGTTGTTGTATTTTTCCATCTGCATTGTAATATTTTAATCCCCAGGATTTGCTTTCAACTGTCTGGTGTCACTAATCAGCCTTTTAGTGTCTATTTTTCTTCAACTGTAGTAGTCCTTTGCCCAAACATTTTATATTTACAGTTCCCTGATATACTTTATTACAGGTTAGAATTTGGAACCTCACTCAACGGAAATGTGTTCGTGCAGTCCAAGCGCATGAAGGCTTTGTACGAGGAATGTGTACACGCTTTTGTGGAACTTCCTTTTTTACTGTAAGTGTAAGATCATCAAGTTTGAAGTCACCAAATTTGTCCAACACACGTCAGAATGTTCAAAGTGAATAACTTATCCTCAAGTTCATTTATTCATTCCAATGCCCTTTTGCAGTTTTATGAAGTAAAATAGTTTCATAAACCCTGAAAAGTGCTAGTTTTCCAGGGACCTGGACAGTGACAGTAAGGTCACACAGAACGCAGTCATCAGCACAGTCTGTCTCCAGGTAACAAATTCTGTCCGTTGGACAGTCAGCTCTCCGTTTCCCGGTGCCCTCTGCTATTGATAACAGCTGTTTCACTCTCAGTTTGTCTAGACCCCATGGAAGTAGAACCACAATTCTTGTGTGTCCCTTTTTTTTTAAATAAGCCTTTTTGTATCTCTCATTTCACTAGGCATATTTTCTTCAACTTTTATCTGTCTTGTGGCACACACCAGAATATATCTTATCTTTTAAAAGCTGAGTAATAATTTTATTGTATGTATATAGTACATTTTATTCATTCACTCATCGATAAACGTTTGGTTTGTTTTCACTTTTATAAATAATGCTGTGAACTTAAGTATACAAATAACAGTTCTTTAAAAAATTTATTTATTTATTCAAAAAGCAGATATATAGGGAGAGACAAAGGAAAAGAGAGCTCTTCACCCATCAGTTTAATCATCAGGTGGCCACGATGACCAGCTCTAAGCCAGTCCGAAGCCACGGTCTTCTCAGGTCTCCCATGCGGTTACGGGGCGGAAGCACCTGGACCATCTTCTGCTGCTTTTCCTGGACATGTTAACAAGGTGCTGAATTTTAAATGGAGCAACCAGGACTCAAACCATCTCCCATATGGGAGCAATTAATTTAACAACAATGATCAGTTTGAAAGCTATTTTAGTGCACTCTACTGAAAATAATAAGGTTGCATAGTGGGTGAAAATAGATGGCATGGTTAGATTTAGAAAGATTTTAGAGGCTCATGAAGTGAGAAGTGGCTAGAAAAATGGTGATTCTTTTTTCAGAAAAGAAGTCAGAGCGAGCTGAGAGCAAGTTCTAGAAAAGGATGGGAATAAGAAAGGTGGGATGAGGTAAGGTAGACTAGTAGGAGGTGCTGTGAGTGAAAATATCATCTTGAAAGTGGCAGGTCTGGAGTTCAGGAGAGAAATCCCAGCTGAACTTGGCATCATCAAGATAGAATCTTTGGGAGGAAGTGAAGGGCAATAATATAGAGAAAACAGAGACATCATTGTGGTCATCTTAGGAAATGCTCTTGCTTAGAATATGGGGAAACCAGAGCTTGAAGAGCCAAAGAATGAACCTCGTGTCCCAGGAGGGGGGTAGTCTTGTAAACTACTACATGGATGATAAAGGTGAAGAATGAGAAAACATTTTAAGGATGTGGACATGTAGAAAATAGGTAAAGATTCTATAATTGTACTCTTTCACATCAAAATGTAAAAAATAGTTTTAAGAGTCATTTATTTTTATTTGTGAGTTACAGAGAGAAATCTTTGATCTGCTGGCTCATTTCCCAAATGGCCACAACAGTTGGAACTGGGCTGATATGAAACCAGGAGCCAGGAGCTGCTTCTGAGTCTCCCTTGTGGGTACAGGGCCCAAGGCATTGGGCCATCCTCCATTGCCTTCCACTGCCCTCCACTGAGCTTCCAGACCACCAGCTGGTAGCTAGCTTAGTAGTAGTGTATCTATTATGGAAAAATCCAGAAGTAAAAACTTGCAAGTTGTAAATAAATATAATCTATTGTTATAATTATTCTGTTGTCTTTCATTGCCCTCCACTGCCCTTCCAGACCACCACCAGGGAGCTGCATTAGAAACAGAGTGCCCGGGCCCAGCGCGGTGGCCTAGTGGCTAAGGTCCTCACTTTGAACACGCCAGGATCCCATGTGGGCGCTGGTTCTGATCCCAGCAGCTCCACTTCCCATCCAGCTCCCTGCTTGTGGCCTGGGAAAGCAGTCGAGGACGGCCCAATGCCTTGGGACCCTGCACCCGTATGGGAGACCTGGAGGAAGTTCCTGGCTTCTGGCTCCAGATTGGCAAAAGCACCGGCCGTTGCAATCACTTGGGGAGTGAGTCATCGGATGGAGGATCTTCCTCTCTGTCTCTCCTCCTCTCTGTATATCTGACTTTGTAATAAAACGAAATAAATCTTCAAAAAAAAAAAAAAAATAGGAGAGTGCCCATATGAGATGGTGGCACTGCAGGCAGAGGCTTAGCTTGCTATGGTATGGTACATGCTCCAAGTTCAGCTTCTTTAGCTTTCATGTTTAAGTGAGATCATGAGACACATGTGAAAGCTATTTCTTGGCTTAGTTTTAGTCCTTAGTGTTTCTTCTTCCTTTTATTTATTGATTTATTAATTTTTAAAAAAGATTTATGTATTTTTATTGTAAAGGTAGATATACAAATAGGAAGACAGGAAGGTCCTCTGTGTAATGATTCACTCCCCAAGTGACCACAGCCGCTGGAGCTGCGCTGATTCGAAGCCAGGAGCCTGGAAATCCTTTTTCAGGTCTCCCTTGCAGGTTCAGGGCTCCAAGGCTTTGGGCCATCCTCAACTGCTTTCCCAGGCCACAAGCAGGGAGCTGGTAGAGAAGCGAGGCCACTGGTGCCCATATGGGTTTCGGGCACGTGCAAGGCGAGGACTTTAGCCTCTAGGCCATTGTGCCAGACCCTCCTCTTCTTTTTAAAATGGTTAGTTCATAATCTCGTAAAACCTCTATTACCTGAGTTTCTTCGTTGTTTCAGTCTGTAATGCACATCACCTTAGCAGTCCTACTCCTCACGCAGATAGAATGAAGCATTGTTCTGAACAGGCACATGCTGTTGTAGAGCCATTTGTCTCTGCAAACATGCTCACCTTCTTAGGCTGCCTGGTGTGCCGAGGCTGGTGCTCCGCAGGCTGCATCAGACATCCTTCTCCTGATAGCAGATCTTCAGCTTGTCCACAGTACTTCCCAGAACTTGATTCTCATAAACCATGTTGCAGGAGAGTGTGCTCAGGGACATGGCTCACCCTATTTTGTTTAAATACTGAAAAGACCTTTGGGTGAGGCCACAGCGACAAAGATTTGAGTATCTAGATTGCATCTTGAGGGCTCCCTGTGGAATCATGTCCCCAGAACTGAGTTTTGGTTTGATGCCAGTAGCTTAGATTCAGAGTTGTTAATGTGATACAGCCCAGTTAAATATTGTCTAAGTGTATTATAAAGAGGCTTCAGGTTCGTTTATATCCTCAACAAAAGAAGTTCTGTTTCACCTTAGTATCAGAACCTCCATCTAAATCCTTTATTCTAATCTCATGAACACTTCACAGTGTTCTGCTGGAAGTATTTCTTTTTGAATTTGCTGCAGGAAAGCAACTAAATTCATACACCTTCTATAGATAAATATGTTTCTAATGAAAAATATGTAATTTGCATGTAATACAAACTTAAGTGAAAACTAGCAGTATGATATATATGAGGGAACTTCATAAAATTTGTAGAAAAATTGAATTAAGAGTAAGTTTTATTTGGTGATAAAACATTTTTAAATCCAAAGGTTTTTTTTATTGTATATATTTTAATTGATTTCTAAAAATTCCCTCATATGCTTGTATAATATCACATTTATGATTATTTTAAGCCCAAATGATGTTACATGGCTTGTTTTGTTCTGCAGCCTATTTCATCTAATATTTTGAATGTGTCTGCCAGTGACCTGAGTAAATTAACATAGATTGTTGCTTTGTCTTGATTTGGAGTAAGCTGCCAACAGTTCGGAGCGTCTTTTTTCCTGTCAGTGCAACTGTTAACACAGTTTAAAGAAGAACGATACCTTGATTAAAATGTGAAAATGGTTTTGACCTTTTGGATCCTGAAAAGCTTTCAGAGTACTTTGTCCAGTGTTTGACAGTGACCGGTTTGAAAACTGGTGATTTGTTGGCAGGGAAGAACTCTGTCTATTCTGAAACTATAAAAATGTGATCTCTGGCATATTTCCTTGTTTTTTATTTAATTTCTTTAAAGCTATCTGGAATCTTCTTTTCCTGAGAGACATCATATTGTTTCAAAGTTTTGACTAGCCTGATTTTATAAATGTCATTCTATTATTATCAATTTTTTTCCTTAATCCAAATTGTGATCTTTATTGTAGTAAACATTTTTGCCACATTTATAGCCTAACTTTACTGCTATTCTTTTCTTTTTTTGTATCACTCTTAGTATTCTAATTTTATATCGCTTAGACACTTGTCAACAGATCTTTGCTGTAACACGGTAGGATATGTATGAAAATATATTGATATATTACGTGAATATAGTATGCTTTTTAAACAAAATGTTTATATTTGATATATATGCTGGTGAGTTATATTTGTGACCATAGTTCATTAACATCATCATCATCCTAAATATTCCTAGGTTGGTGATGACAAAACTGTGAAGCAGTGGAAAATGGATGGCCCAGGTTGCGGAGAAGAGGAAGAGCCACTGCATACGATATTAGGAAAGGTGTGAGAACAAATCCCACCATGCTTTGCCTGCTCAAATTCTTCTCTTTATGACATTTCATAATTTTAATTTCTAAAAAGTAAAGTGACATAAGTAAGAAATGAGACTTTAGGCCACAATAATTGACCTGTTTTAAGTAATACATATTGCAATTAGGGTTCTTTGCAAGTAAAAAATTTGAACAGTTTTTTATTATTCATTGTAGAAGGGTTTGGTTTCTGTTTTGAGCTCAAGGATGCAATGAGATATTTCTTAATAGCAAGGCCATGAAGAAATATCTATGAAGTAGAATGTCCAGATAAATACTGTGTTCGTTTTTGTCTTTTTTATATTATAAATATTACACAAATCTCACAATTCCTTACTTGAAATAGTGCTTTAGGAAAGTAAGATATATAATAATTTGATGCTTGTATAAATTTTTTTGTTTCAAAAGGTTAATTTATTAGAAAGGCAAGTTTACAAAGACTAGGAGAGACAGAGAAATAACTGCCGTCTGTGGTTCACTGCCCAAATGGCTGCTATGACCGGAGCTGCGCCGATCCAAAGCCAGGAACCAGGAGCTTCCCCAGGTCTCCCATGTAGGCACAGGATCCCAAGGGTCTGGGCCATCCTCCACTGCTTTCCCAGGCCACAGTTAGGGAGCTGAATGGAAAGTGGGGCAATTGGGATACAAACCAGCTCCCATATGGAATGCTGGCACTTACAAGTAGAGGATTAGCCAATTGAGCCATTATCCTGACCACATCTTGTATAAATCCTTTTTTTTCTTTTTAGATTTATTTTATTTTTATGGAAAGGCAGATATACAGAAAGGAGAAACAGAAAGATCTTCCATCCACTGGTTCACTCACTGACTGGCCACAATGGCCGAGGTTAAGCCATTCCAAAACCAGGGGCCAGGAGCATCTTCTGGATCTCCCACATGGGTGCAGGATCCCAAGGCTTTGGGTCATCCTCTGCTGCTACAAGCAGGGAGCCTCATGGGAAGTGGCACGGCCAGGATATGAACTAGTGCCCATTTGGGATCCTGGTGGATGAAAGGCTAGGATTTAGTCACTAAGGCTATTGCACTGGGCACCTGTATAACTCTCTTTCACATTTCTTACTGATTGTTCTGTAAATCAGATAGCATGGTTTAGCCTTAGCTTAAACACACAACATTTTTTTTTCTAATTTTTTATTGATTACATTGCATTATGTGACACAGTTTCATAGGTTCTGGGATTCTCCCCTTCCTCCCCAAAACCCGCGCCCCCCCCCCATGGTGGATTCTTGTTGCATTACTACAATTCAAATTCAGTTAAGATACTTTCCTTGCAAGCATCTACAAAGCATAGAGTCAAGCATCTTATGGTCCAGATAAGTTCAACAGTTTCTTGTGGAGACCGTCTCTGGTCTGAAGGTAGAGCAACAGAGTATCATCCCAATCAATTAAAAACCCCGACATTACATCAGTAACAATTTATAACGTAATGGAATTAGTTGACATGGTATTGTGTAACCAGCATGTTAAAAGAGAGAGAGAGGAAAAAAAGTGCAAATTCTGAACCACATCCCATGACTTCTACATTGACATTACAATTATTAGTTTATATACAGCTGGGTTCAATACACCTTAAAATGGCTATAGATTGCTGTTCAGCTGACTCATGTCTATTTTAATTTTAGTATTTAGCAGTTCATAGCGTTGAAGCATGATTTTGCAGAACCTGGCTGTTTTTCAGGTAGTGTAACTCTATAACTCTAACAAGACATATGTCAGCAGTTTAGGTGAACAATTTTAGGAGGGGTGTGCAGAGAAATCTTCAAAACCCTAGTGAGGAGTAACTAATCTTTGTGTCCCACCCAGTGAGTTATAAGTGCATCTTCACTGCCCGTTTCCTGTTTCTAAGCTTTCCTTGTTGTTCTCTATCTATTCTAGGGGTTTTTTTTGTTTGTTTGTTTGTTAGTTTGTTTTGAGGGGTTTCAGGAGTGATCCTGATGGTCATTACGAGAGAGGGTAGGGACGCAAAGCTGGCACCAGGCAAGAACCAGAGAAAGCTCCTCCCCCTAGTCCCGAAGGAAGTTTACTGTTTTGTTTCTGTGGACTGCTCAGTGCTCCTGGTTGTCGTTCCGATGACCTTGGATTCTGCAAGGCAGGGTATGGGCTTCTTCCATCCCATGTAGGAGATCCAAATGGAGGTGGGTGACCTCAGAGTTCTCGGCCTCTGAAGGCACTCCAATTCCCCGTGGTCACCTTGGCGGTTGGGATGTAGTCCTTGGAGCTTGTACTGATAGCCCTTGGTGTGGATCTAGGAGTCCTCAGGGTTGGGATACAAGCCTCCTCCTGTCTGCCTGCTCCACTCTGGGGTCCACACCCCCCCCCCCCCCCCCCCCGCTCAAACACAGAACGTTTGACCTACTTGTGATTTATAGTACTTACACTTTTTATTAAGTACTCAGATTTCTTAAATGAGATTTCATCTATAGTGGCATTCAGTGTATCAGGTAATATGCCTCTTTAGACACCTACTTCCTGTAGCTGAAGTCTCTGGATTCCATCCTGCCTGCATCCCCAGCTCTACCTCCTGGACACTGTGCACCCTCCTGAGAGGCAGCAAGGGATGGCCAGTTCTTGGGTCCCTGCCTCCTGTGGAGACCTGGATCGAATTTTGGACTTCTGGGTTTGACCTGACCCACACGTGGCTGTTTCAGTTGTTTAGGGAGTGAACCCTTGAGTAGAAAATATCCATCTGTCTTTTTATCTTTGAAATAAATTAAAAATTTTTTTAAAATTTAAGTTGAAAATGGGAACTTTCACATACTAAAATGAGTTTTAATCTTTAAGCATAACCATTTCTAAAGTCACAATTTTGTCATTTCAGTATTATGGGAGGTACATGTTTAAATTCTGTTTCTGGTTTTTTACTTTATTTGAAAATAGGAGTTATAGATTGATCAATCATTCATCGCTTGTTTGACTACCCATATGGATGCAACTGTGGGGAACTCCACTCAGGTCTCCCACATTTGTGGGCCGTCTCTGCCTTCCCAGGTGCATTATCACGGAACTAGGTATAAGATGGAGCAGCCAAGATGTGAAGTGGTGTTATCATATGGGGGTGTCAACATTGTAGGCAGCAGCTTGACCCATGCTACCACAATATCAGCCCTTAAATGTTCTTAAAGGGACTGGAAGGTGAGGTATGAGTGTGAGGTGGAAATAATTCTGGTGTAGAAACAAATTAATGATATCTAAAACATAGTTTCATTCTTTTAAAATGTTTTATCTAGTGTTAGCCCTATAAAGGAGAGCTTCAAAGAAGCTGTCAACAGGAATTTCCTCAAAAAAGAGTATAGATAAATGTTTTTACAGTTTTCTGCACATTGGAACTATCTATGAACTCATTTATAATACACTCTTTGCCTTTAAAGACAGTGTATACTGGCATTGATCATCACTGGAAAGATCCTGTTTTTGCCACATGTGGACAGCAAGTGGACATTTGGGATGAACAAAGAACTAATCCTATATGTTCAATGACCTGGGGATTTGACAGTATAAGCAGTGTTAAATTTAACCCAATTGAGGTAATGTGCTTATTGTTTCTTTTTATTGTTTAATATAGCAAGTATATTCTGCTTATTATTTTCTAATTTCAGCTCTGTTTAGGAAACTTAAATGTGTGAAAGAATTTCTGAATTTCAGTGATATTCTTGCTTTTGCTCAATTCCAGATTTTATCTGAATTCTGATATCTTTAGTCAAATCTAAACATATTTGCTTGCAGTTTAGTCCAAGATACTAGCAGTAAGCATCATCAAAGAGAGTTTGTGTGTGTGTGTGTTTACACATGCACGCATTCTCCTGGACCTAGAATCCAAAGAAGTACTGTGTTGTTGTTTGTTTTTATAAGGAACAGTTTATTTGGCTTGATTATCCTGAAAGCTTAAAGTGCGGGATTGGCTGGGTCTTAATGGTTCAGCCTCTGGTGCTGCTCCCCTTGCTGGCAACCTGCTTAGGTGTCGACCCCCAAAACATACCGGCCAAGGACCTAGTAGCATGTGTGTCTGTAGTACTGGGTTTTAGTTTTGCTCCTGTTTTCATCACTTGTGCTCCAGATTATATCATTATGCTTCTGCGACAGCTTGTGATTTTTTTTAACCCTTGTGGAACCAATACTTCATGGTAATGTTCATGGTCATTATTGTACTGCATGAGAACTAGTTACAGTCATATTTTTCTGTGTAAATCTGGGTTATGATTTCTAGTTCCTTCCAGGTGCAGCTAAATACTGTCCGTGAAGATCTGAATTTAGGAAAGGAGACTACCTTGAAGGCCAAGTGAGCCATCAAACTCTAGACTTGTCCTTCAGCTTTATCTGAATATGTAGCAATAAATGAGCTTGTTGACCAGAAGGCTCAGTAGAGATGCCCTTCTGCAGGGAGAAAAGGAAATCACTACACGTATAGCTGATGGGGGACCAGCATTGTGGCGTAGTACGTAAACCCACTGCCTACAGTGCCAGAATCTCAGCATGAATTCATGTTCCAGCTGCTCAGCTTCCAATCCAGCTCTTAGGTAAAACATCAAAATACGGACTGAGCGCTTGGGCCCGTGTAGCCCACATGGGAGTCCTGGAGAAAGCTATCTTCTGGTTTTGGCCTGGTTATTGGGGCCGATTAGGGAGTGAACCAGCAGGTGGAAGATCTCTCTCTGTTTTTCCCTCTCTAGTTCTTTGAAAGAAAGAAATAAATCTTTTTTAAAAAATAAAAAGTAAAATTATAAACAGATTCCAGTGGTAAGTGCAAATTTTCTACTCTCAGGGACCCAAGCAGGTAAAAAGAGGGAGGAAAGGCTAAGTCAAGTAGCGGGTGTAGAATGGTCCACCTGGTGTGTTGAAACCTGAGGCGCCACATGCATGGTGAGCATGGCCTTGCAGGATTGCTGAGAAGGCATTCAGGATGCCTTGCTGCCAGCACATGCACACAGTTTTTTTTTTTTTTAAGTACTTTAAGAAGATTTCTTTATTTATTCCTGAAAGGCAGATTTTAGAGAGAGGAGGAGTGACAGAGGTCTTCCATCCACTGGTTCACTCCTCAAATGGCCACAGAAGCTACAGCTGAGCTGATCTGAAGCCAGGAGCCGAGAGCTTCCTCTGGGTGTTGCAGGTGGGTGCAAGGACATGAGGAACTGAGTCACCTTCTGCTGCTTTCCCAGGCCATAAGCAGGGAGCTAAGTCAGAATTGGAGCAGCTGGTTCTTGAAGTGGCACCCATATGTGACACCAGCACTGCGGGTGTTGGATTAGCTTGTTACACCACTGTGCTGGCTGCTGCTTACACACTTACTTGAGAAGCTTCAAACCTAGAGCAGGGGTTGGCATAGTAATGGCTGTGAGGCAAGTGTGCCTTCTGTCTATAAGTAAAGCTTTACTAGAACACAACTGAGCTCTAGCATGTGTGATCTGTCCCTGTTCTTGTGCTACAGTGGCCGAGTTGAATAATTGCTGCAGAGTACACATGACCCACAATTCTGGAAATACTTAATCCCGTGGCCTTGTACTAGAAGGTTGCTGGTCGCTAAGTTACAGTATCTGGCTTCACGGAATCTTTTTCATAGCCTTCCCTACCTCCTTTTTCTTTGTTCCCCTAACTAGAAGGTGCAAGCCAGCTTTGCAGATCAAGTCCAAGGTGACCTTGAGCAGAAGCAGGCTACAGGCATAAGCCAGTTACCGGAATACTTCATGGCCTACTTGGAATGAAGTTCAGCTGGAGCTGTGTTTCCAACAAACACACTTTTGCATTAAATCACAATTCTTCTCTATATTTGTTTCATTATTTTTAAAACAAGATTAATTATATCTCACACATTGTACTTCACAAGCTTGTTGTAAATATAAAATGTGGTAATATATGTGAGCATTTTTTAAAGTGACGAAATTCAACATGGTGATGTTAGTACTATATGAAAACATAAACCTAGACAGAAACTAATTCCTACATTATCAGAAATCTTTTTCTTCTCTAGTTTGGTGAATGCCTGTTTCAGAAGAGTAGATGACCAGTTCTAAAAATCATGATTAATTTTCAGTGCTGACCCAGCAGCCATGTTTTCAAAGTTGACTGTAAAAGCTCTGTTTGTACAGCTGTGCTTTTTATTAACCTTATGAACTAACTTAGCGATAAAAGCAAATGGTGTGCATGTCTCTTATTTTATGTTAATCTTAATAGAAACGGCATGTTGCCGTGAACAAATGGAGTGTATTTATCTCCTGTAATCATTAATTATTAATTTTCTGTTAAAATATTGAAGCCTAGAATTATGCTGAGAATTGGCACATTTTACAGTGTGAAGCCCAGCTCCCAGTGAAGGTAGAATTTTTTTATTTTGCTTGAATACAAGTCTTTGTTTTTAGAAATAGAACTTGGTCAGAAATGGGAAGCTAAAAAAGGTTGAAAAAACATCATTAGGTGAAATCTCAGAAACAAAATGGGTGACTTTTAAGAAATCTTTGGAAAATGATTAGCTCTAAATAACACAAGCTGTGAATTATTGTTCCTTTAGATTTAGTAGTGTCACTACGGAAATTCTTTTAAGATTTATTTTTATTTGAAGGACAGTATTAAGAGAGACAGAGAGATCTTTCATCTGCTGATTTGTTGCACAAATGACTGCAACAACCAGAACTGGGCCTTTCTGAAGCCAGGAGATTCCAGCTTCAGTTAGGGTACAGGGTTCCAAGAATTTGAGCCACCATCTGTTGCTTTCTCAGGCCATAAGTAAGGGGCTGTATCAGAAACAGAGCAGCTGGGACATGAACTGACACCCGCTTGGGGATGCTGGTGCCACAAGTGGTAGGTTACCCTACTGCTCCACCCTGGAAATTCTAAAGTAAGTAAAGAAATATCTCAGAGAAGAAGAGTTAAATATATGAAATGTTTATTGAAGTGTTACTTGTGATAGCAAAAAGCAGGAAATAAATCTGGTTTGAAGAATGGCTAAATGAAGTATGTTCCTTTATGAGTTAGAATATTCTGTTATCCACACAGTCATTATGAACACCAGCCATACATGCATAGGGATTTGTTTATAGAACTGTATGACTTGGGTTGCTGAGGTTATGGATGATTTATCATAACCTTTTAAAATGGAGGTTGAAATTATACATTGGTGCGTTTACCTGGTGTTAATGATAATTAAGTAATTTTCCATTTGTTGGCTGGCCTGGTCTGTAACTGGTGATTGTTATATTTATTTTCAGACTTTTCTCTTGGGAAGTTGTGCTTCTGACCGGAACATAGTACTATATGATATGAGACAGGCTACTCCTCTGAAAAAGGTGAGTTTCAATTTTATCTTTCACTTTTCATACTTAATGCATTCCTCTATAAACAGAGTGACTGAAAACATGGAGCAAATGTTTTTTCACAGTTAAAACCCTTTTTTTTTTTTTGCACACAAATATTCTTAGAACACAAAGTAATGGTAGCATTTTGTTACATCCTAGTTCTTTTTAGAAATCCTTAAATTTCCACTATGTATTGTATCATACTCTTCATTGTATCTTTCTCAATACCAATAAAATTTAGGCAGCTAGTTACTGCTTACTGGATTGAAGGTCCTTAAATTTTTTGTTGTTGTTTTCTTTTTGAGGGGATTCCTTATTTTTATTTATGTATTGATTGGTTTTAAGTTTTATGGTATAATTTCATAGGGCCTGGAATCCTGCCCCCTCCCCCACAAGTTGCCACCCTCAACTGATTTTCCCTATTACATTAGTGTAGTCCTTCATAAGCAGTCATAAGTCAATCAGAAAGTTCTTGAAATAAGGATTCTGTTCTGTAACAGTTCTTCAGGTCCCATGGTTATCTTGACACATACGGTGTTTTATTCCTGAAAGTTTTGGAACTCATTCACAAAACCAGCATTATTTGTTTAACTTCATGCTAATGGGTACTACTTTGACGTTTTGTTTGGTCAAATGATCCTGTTTAAGGTGACAAATTTCCCAACAGCTGTAATGTGATCAGTCCTGGGACTTAGGGATCAAGCAAATACAAGCTGAAGCCAACTCTCCAGGGAGAGACTGCAGTCTAAAGGCAAAGTGCGCAGCAGGGGCCGGTGCTCATGAGCAGCAGCAGCAGACTTTCCGCTTGATTTTAGTTCACTTTTATTATTTTTCTTTAGTTTTCTTTAGTTTTATTTTATTATCTGTTATTTTATTCTCTTTCCTCTATTTTCTGTGTCATGATACACTTACTTATTGGAAAGTTAAGCTTGTTACTGTGAAACAAATGGACATGCTGGTGTAATAATTTTGAAAAAATAGGGATGGGAGATAAGAGAGGAGGAAGGAACCCCTATGCTTCTAAATCTATACATGAAAAATGTGAAATCTACTCATTTTATATGAATTAAAAATAAGAATTTAAAAAAAGAGGGAGTACCATTTGAAGTGAAAGGGTATAAATTTGATTTCAGGCTATAGAATCCTAAAGAAACAGGGAGTGCTAGGTGACATTTGTGGACATGAGTTCACATAAAAGAGAAATACTTTTAATACTTTCTTTTGTTTTCCTAAATCAATTTTATGGCATCCAACAAACTTAGAAATATCGGAATGTATTCATTGAGATCTAATAAATACAGTAATCTTTCCAGAGTGTCGTTTTAATTATTTCAGTGATATTAACACTGTGAGAAAATCCTACCAAATTTTAGTCAGCAGGTAACTTAATCTATTTTTCCTATTAAATGGTAGTTTTAATAACCACCTTGTAGCACATTGGTGAGAATAAAACATGACCATTTTAAGCATGTAATCGAATACTGACACCAAGTTTAATAAATGATAATTTCTGTCCATTCACATTCTCCCATTTCCATATTAAATGGTACTGTAGTGCCTTGAGGTTGAATAAAAGACCTGTAGCCTGGATTTCAGGGCCTCCGGAAATCAGATGCCAGTTGACAGTCTGTTTCAGTCAGTAAAGCAGCATTTTATTGGGGTTTATCAAATGCAGTGCAGAACACTGTGATGTTTGTCATATTCTTAGACACTGCTGTGTTCTCCTTATTTTGTTCTAGCTAGTAGGCTATTAATGTTCTGACTTTACCCTTCTAAGTCTAACAGTTCTCAGTAAGACATTATTTTTTCCTATGAGGTGTAGTTCTGGAAATGTTTGAGGGCATTTTGTGAATGAGGCATCTGAGATGCTAAGCATCTGAAAGTGGACAGATGCACACGTACAAAGTTCCTCTATCAAAGATGCCAATAATGTTCCGTTGAGAAGCACTGTGAGTTACTCATCCCTCATAGGCCAGTTCAAGTCATGCTTGTTTCTGAAACATTTCTTCTCTAACCCTCAGCTCTCCATTAATTTCATTTCCAGTTTGATAGTCACTGTTTTACAGTTTGTGTGTGTCTCATCTTCTTAACTAAAGTAAGTTATTTCAGGTTAAGAGACTACACTTGATCTTAGCCAAAAGGCCAAGAAGCAATCAGGTTAAGAGACTAAGTAAGAAGCATTTTTCTACTTTTCAAACATACTACTTTGCCTTATATTCTTGAAAGCAGTTTATGATTTCTCTTCCCATTACACTATTATGTACACATAATGGGTGTTTGCTAAACATTTGCTTAAATCAACGGGAAAAAAAAGGAAGTGAAGAAGCAAATGTATTCATCCTGAAGGTAATTTCATGATGGAGACATAGTGTGTTCTTCCTGTCTCAGGTTATCTTGGATATGAGAACAAATACAATCTGTTGGAACCCTATGGAAGCTTTCATTTTTACTGCAGCCAATGAAGATTACAAGTAAGTTTCTAAAATCTATTTCTAGATTTTATAAGCTTTTAAAATTAAAAAAATTGTAAGAACAGGTTTTCTAAATTGGGGAAGAACTTCTTAGGAATCTGTTTTTCATGTTTCACAATAGTAGTAATGAAACCTAGGATCAGTAACTGAATCCTGTTTGTTGCTATTTCTATAAAGCTTTATCAAACTACAGCCTTACCTGTTCAGTTTTGTTATAAATATGCTAATTTCTGCTTTTCCACCTGAGGTAACCGATTTGCAACAGAGATCTGATAGTTCACTTGGCTAAAAATGTTTATAATCTGGCTCTTTGTGGAAGTTGTAAATCTCACATGTTGTAGTGGATATGAAGATAGCTTCCTATTGTATTTGCAATTCTTTGGGTGGCTGGTACTTGGGTACTCATGATATTTGCACTCACTGTTACTTCATTAAGATGAAAGGAAAATCATAGATCCCGGTTTGGTTCAGGTTGAATCAAGGAGCCTGGAACTCCAGCTAGGTCTCCTACATGTGTGATATAGACACAAGTACTTGGACCGTCTTTTGTTGCTTTTGCAGGTGTGCTAACAGGGACCTGGAAACAGGACATTTGGGACTTGAACCAGTGCTCATATACTGTGCTGGAGGCTGCTTAACATCAACACCACAACACCATCTCCTATAGTTAAATTTTTGGCCCTATAATTGTATTTGTTATTATTTGACTTCATCTAAATTTGACTTGACAACTTTATTTCTTGACCCAGATGGAAATTTATGATTTTCTATACTAGAATATGTCCTAAAGCTTGTGGAAAAATCAAATTATAAGATAAAATTATGGGGCCAACATTCTGGTGGGGCAGACTAAGCTACTGTCTGCAATTTGGGTACCCCGTGTGAATACTGGTCTAAATCCTGGCTGCTCCACTTCTGAGGCAGCCACTTGCCGGTGCGCCTGGGTGAAAAAGCAGAAGGTAGAGCAGATAGCCCAAGGTCTTTGCCCCTGCTACTCACATGGAAGACCTGGATGCAGCTCCTTGGCTCCTGCTCTGCTCTTACCCCAACCATTCCCTTCTCTCTCTCTTCTTCCCTCCCTCTCATCCTCTCTTTCTCTGGGTCTCACTCTAATTCTGCATTTCAAGTAAATAACTCTTTTTTAAAAAATTATTTGGGACAACCTGTATAACCCAAGGCACCCATGTTTTATGCTTGAGTACCTTAGGAGGTGGAGGTCATGCCACACTATAGGAGACCTGGATGAAACTCTTGCATGCTTGCTTTGGCCTGGCTCAATCCTGGCCATCTGGAGAGTGAACCAGCAGATGGGAGATTTCTCTCTCTCTACCTCCTCCTTCCAAATTAGTAAGAAGTCTTTTTTTCTTTTTTCAAGTAAATGGTCTGAAGTCAAAGACAAAAGTGAAACAGCATTGTGAACAACTTTATTAAAGTTTCTAAATACAATTTAGTCAGCTGTTTTGACATTTTTTAAAAAAGATTTATTCTTTTTTTTTAAGATTTATTTTATTATTTTTATTGGAAAAGCAGATATACAGAGAGGAGATACAGAGAGGAAGATCCTCCGTCCGATGATTCACTCCCCAAGTGAGCGCAACAGCCGATGCTATGCCGATCCGAAGCCAGGAGCCTCTTCCTGGTCTCCCACACGGGTGCAGGGTCCCAAAGCCCTGGGCTGTCCTCAACTGCTTTCCCAGGCCACAGGCAGGGAGCTGGAAGGGAAGCGGGGCCGCCGGGATTAGAACCTGTGTCCATATGGGATCCCGGGTGTGCAAGGCGCCGGGCCCAAGATTTATTCATTTTAATTGAAAGTCAGAATTACTGAGGATGGAAGATAGATCCTCTATCCACGCTTAAAAACCAGAGCCATGACTGGGCTGGTCTGAAGGTGGGAGCCGGAGCATCTTCTATGTCCGTCTAATGGGTGCAGTGGTCTAAGGAGCTGAGCCATCTGCCACTGCTTTCCTGCTTTCCCAGACCATAAGCAGGATACTACATCAAAAGTGGAACAGCTGGGATATGAACTGGCATCTCAGGCAGAGGACTGATATGCTATGCCATTGCTCCAGCCCCAAGGTGTCTTTTTTTTTTTTAATGATACAATTTCATAGGTTCAGGGATTTCACTTTCCACTCTCCTTTTCCTCTTCTCCCCCGAGTGTTTTTCCCAAAACAATTAAATACTGTAGTCTTTCAGCAACATTTACAAGTCCATCATTTTGCTATTTAAGTGTACCATGACATTGTAGGCATAGACAATGTTAGACAGCCCAGCATCCTATTTTCAAGATGTATTTAATAGTCTCATTGAAACTCCATCTTTTGTTTGGAAAGCTAATCTCTATTATACAGTTTTTCTAGATGATTTTATACACACACATACACACACACACACACACACACACACACACATCTACCTATATATCTATAGATGTATTTGCCTAAAGTTTACCTTATATCAGAGACAACATATGATATTTGTGCTCTTGGCATTGGCCTACTTCACTGAACATAATGGTCTCTACTTCTATTTAATGGCAGAGTAGTATTCCATAGAGTAGATGTACCACAGTTACAGTGTCTTTTTATTTTTTTCTTAAAATGTCCCTGAAATTTCTCATTTCACATATGGGAGGAATTATATATACGGTACATTCAAAAAAGAACATTCCTTAATAAAAAAATGATGGCTAAAATACCATCATTAATTTAACCTGAAAGTGATCTTACTTTGGAATTCCCTTTCTATAGATGTGAATATTTTCTATCCAGAAAATATTTGCTTGGAATTTGAGCACTTAGCTTTTTTTTTTCTGTATAAAAATGAAACAATTTATTTATTTTGAAGACAATTTGCTAAAATAAAACTTAGTTGAGAGCCTCTGCCTGTCCCAGGCCGAGATTGTAAAGCAGTTTCCAACTCAGAGATTAATCTCAAAGATCAGTCTACTCATGGCTAACCATCTTGTAGTGTTTTGGAAATTGAAAAGAACAATAAATGAGCTTTTGATGAGAGCTGATAGTATTGCGGGTAATTTATCTTTGGCATTAACAATGTTTCATGGTAATGGTATTTTAAAAAATGCTCTTTTGAAATGTTAGGCTTATTAATCATTCAGTTTTTAAAAGAACAGCAGAGAGAAAAATTACAGAGGTATTTGATTCACTTGGATGTGTGCATTCTAATTTGACGTACAAGTGTCGCAAACTGTGCCTTAACCTGCTGTACCAGATTAGCTCTCCCAAACACCCCGCTTAGAAATAGTTTTAGGGTTACTAAAAAGTTGCAAAAAAATTACCAGTCACTGCCACCAGTTACCCCTAATTTTAACTAGCATCTTACATGACCGGTAGTTCGGTCACCAGAATCAAGAAATTGGCATTGGATTTGCAGAGAAGGAGAGACAGAAAGATCTGTCTGTTGGTTCACTCCCCAAATGACCTCAGTGGTTGAAGCTGAGCGATCTGAAGCCAGGAGACAAGAACCAGGAGCTTCTTTCTGGTCTCCTCTGTGGGTGCAGGGTCCCAAAGATGAGTCATTATCTACTGCTTTCCCAGGCTACAAGCAATCAGGACATAAACTGGTACCCATATGGAATCCCAACATTTGGAATGGAGGATTAGTCAATCGAGCCATTGCACCAGACCCATAATTCTCCAGTGTTCTTTTCTAGGGTCCAATACAGAATCCCATGCTGCATTTGTCACATTTCCTTAGTGTGTTCCTTCTTATTTGTTTGTCACCTTATGTCTTAGTTCAGGCTGCTCTAACAACCTGCTGTAGATTGGGTGACTTCATCAACAGGCATTTATTTCTCAAGGTTTTGGAGGCTGAAGTTGGAGATCAGGGTGCCCACTTGGTAGGTTATGGTGTGGGCCCTCTTCTAGGGTGCACATAGCCCTCAGGGAGTTAAGAAGTTGGGTATCTGTGGCAGGTTATCCTGTTCGTGATAATTTCACCCTTATGACCTAACATATCTCTATCCAAGCCCCTACTTCAAAATGCTATCCTATTGTGGGTTAGATTCAGCAGGTCCACTTGTTGAAAGGGAGCATTGAGTTTATAATAATGTGATCCTTTAGAAGAAAACATACTCTTGAATTATTTTGTAAATTGCCTTTAATTTTGAAGTAATCGGATGCTTTCACATTAGGTTGAAGTTTTGTATCTTTCGGCAAAATACCACAAAAATGATGTGCCCTTTGTAGTATACCTTGAGAGGAGAGCACTTGTTGTCAATGTCATATACATTACAGGGAACATTAGCCTTGATTCCTTGGTTAAGGTGGTGTCAGCAGGTTATTCATATTGGCTCATTTGGAGCACTAATTTTTTTATTGTTTGGAATTTTTAAATTTTAGTATATTTTTTATAAAAATTGTGCTCTAATATAGCACTGTCAAGAGTATAAGCTACTACAAGTTAGTTAAGTAACTTTGTAACGCAAATCAAGAATTAAAAATGCTATGACAATGAACCTCATGTTCCTTCTTGTAAGAATCTGTGCAGATTTAGCCGAATATGCCATTCCATTAAAGATTGTCAACAGTTTGCATATTGGGATTTGCTTAAAACTTATACAACACACTTGGGAGCTGTATATTAAAAATAAGGAGCTGAATTACTTAATGTTATAGTCACTAAAAGTCTTTTCAACGATTACTTAATGGACCTGACGTAGCCTAGTGGTGAAATCTTCTCCTTGCAACTCCCTGGATCCCGCATGGGCGCCAGTTTGTGTCCCAGCTGCTCTATTTCCCATCTTGCTCCCTGTTTGTGGGCTGGGAGGACAGTGAGGAGGGCCTAAAGCCTTGGAACTCTGCACCTGTGTGAGAGACCGGGAAGAAGCTCCTGGCTCCTGACTTGGGATCAGCTCAGTTCCAGCCATTGCAGCTACTTGGGAAGTGAACCAGTGGATGGAAGAGCTTTCTCTGTGTCTCCTTCTTTCTGTAAATCTGTTTTTCCAAAATAAATTAAAAAATAAATCTTTTTTTTTAAAGATTATTTAATGAAATGGGTGAATGGTTATAATGCATTAAATGAAATGACCAGAAAACAAAGTTTTACGCTGCACTATCACAGCTTTATTTAGAATATAAACAGGAAGATGAAAAGTTTTGTTAGGGCTGATGTTGGCAGATTAAGCTGCTATGTGCAGAGCTGACATTCCATGTGGGTGCCAGTTCAAATGCCAGCTGCCCCACTTGTGACTCAGTTTCCTGCTAATGCTTTGGGAAGCAGCAGTAGGTGACCCAAATACTTGGGTCCCTGCACCTATGTGGGACACCCAGATAAAACTCCTGACTCCTGGATTCAGCCTGACCCAGTCTGGCCATTGTGACCATGTGGGGAGTGAACTAGCAAAATAAACATCTCACTCTCTGTCTCTTTTTCCTGCTGTAACTGCCTTCCAAATAAATGAAATCAGTCTTTAAAAAATGGTGCGGCACTGTTTGTAGGAAGGGAAATTAAAGGTAATTTTTATACTGTTTTTGGAAATTTTCATATTTTCTACAATGAGATTTACATTTCTAAAGTGGAAAGTATGTTTGTATAAATGTAGCCTGAAATAATAATAATAATAATATTGTTTGATATTCTCCACCTTCATTCACCTGCTTCTGTACAGAATTGAGCTATGTATTTAGATATGTGTGGTTTAGCTATTGAGTCTTATTTTCATCAGCTTCTTTCTGGAAATTTGTATCAAATATTTAAGTCTGAAATATTTAAATATTTTAAAATTATTTTACAGCTTATATACTTTTGATATGCGTGCGCTGGACACTCCTCTGATGGTGCATCTGGACCATGTCTCTGCAGTGCTTGATGTGGATTACTCCCCCACTGGGAAGGAGTTTGTGTCTGCTAGTTTTGATAAATCTATTAGAATATTTCCTGTGGACAAAAGTCGAAGCAGGTATGTGACTGCCAATAAGCCATTTAATGCTGTTCAGGGTGTAAGTGCAAGTAAATTGATAGAAATAAAATGTTCCCATTAAAATTATGTAATTTAAGGATTATAGTGATATTGTATTAAGAAATGACCACCTCCATTTTAATATAGTAGTTACTAGAATGTAAAAATATTCCAAATGCATACATTTACACACATGCATTATGTGCATATGTTTACACTCATTTGGGTGGCCTAGTCTTGCTTAATGGAATTACAGATAGGTAAAGGTGACCGTGGTGAGAAGTAACAGGAAATGATATAAAAAAAGAAAAAAGCAGTGGGTTGGAGTTAGTGAATCAGATGCAGGAAAGAAGAGAGAGAGCCTGTGTAATGAAAGTGGGGGGTGGTGATCTGTCAGGAACAACACTGTGTGGAGATGGGAAAGCAATTAGTTTGCCAGCCTCCTAAAGATTAATGGTAGCAGAGAATCTTTCTGGGACTTCCCATTCATTAAAAAAAAATCCAGGGAACATTCCATTTGCTGATACATTTGCAACAGGATGAAGAAATGTTACCATTTTAGTGCAATGAAGAGAATCTTAGTCATTACTCATAATGATAAACTGGCCTAGCTTCTCTAGTGCTGAAGATTCTGAACCTTCTGAATAAAGATGTTTGTTTTCAGTGGCACATCCTGTCCTTTGTCTGATTCACCTTCATTCTTTTCTAGGAGGGTCAGGACTGGGGAGAGATAAGCAAAGTCCATAACCATCTAGAATTCAATGAGTTAGTCATTCTCAGCACCACCAGGCTGACTGTGCAGTGCTTGCCTCCTGCACACTGGGCATTGCATTTTCCCCAACCCTCTGCCCTCCCCAAGAAGGTCGTTAAGACAGTGCCTCTCTCCTGAAAGCCAGCAGCTCACTAAAATTTTTTATCGTAGCCAGTCTGTTTGTGTAGTGGTGTTTTCAACTTGTGATGATTGTGTTTTTCTATACTCTAATTAGAGGAAACCATATTGATTCTTAAATTTCATACCATCCTTGGGTGCCAGCACGTAATTGTCATCTTCACTGCCTTTATTGTTACAAAGCTGTTTCAGTTTGAAGTGCATTGAAGGATTGTTTTGATGACTTGTATCTTCATTCTTCCAACTCTGTGGTAGAACTCCTGGTGTTGGTTCCTGTGTGGGTTTTCTTTCTTTGTAACTGTGTTGATAGTCTCCACACTGTCATGAAGGGTATTAGGGTTGTTTGGTCAGACTTCTCATTTGGAGAATGGTAAGTATCAAGAAAATATACCTTCCATTTTTTCTTATCACCAGAACTTCTCAAGGTAGCAAAACAGTGTGTTCCTAACATGGTAAATAAGTAAGTATAAGGACAGAAGACAATAAAAGAGCAAGAGAAATAGGAATGTGTAGAAGTAGACCTGTAATCTTTTTAAAGATTTATTTTTATTATTTTTTCGTTGGAAAGGCGGATATACAGAGAGGAGAGACAGAGAGGAAGATCTTCCGTCCGATGATTCACTCCCCAAGTGACCGCAACGGGCCGATACTATGCCGATCTGAAGCCAGGCGCCTCTTCCGGGTCTCCCACGCGGGTGCAGGTTCCCAAAGCTTTGGGCCGTCCTCGACTGCTTTCCCAGGCCACAGGCAGGGAGCTGGAAGGGAAGCGGGGCTGCCGGGATTAGAACCGGCGCCCATATGGGATCCCGGGCGTGCAAGGGGAGGACCTTTAACCACTTGCGCCACCGCGCCGGGCCCTAGACCTGTAATCTTTAAGAGCCCAGCAGCTGAGATCATGCTGATGATTCCAAAGCCATTAGGACAACTAATAGAGTTCCAACTAGAAAGCTCAGGTTACTCAGGACTTATGTAAAAGTGAGTTCTTATATTTTATATCCAGGGAATTATCTCTTGATGTGGTTTGAAGGATGTGTGTGTGTGTTAGGATTTGTTTAATTGAAAGTCAGATGTGAGGCATGGTGTGATGGCTCCGTGGCTAAATCCTCACCTTGTCTGTGCTAGGATCCTGTATAGGTACCAGTTCATGTCCTGGCTGCTCCGTTTCCCATCCAGCTTCCTGTTTGGCTTGGAAAAGCAGAAGGGGATGATGCAAAGCTTTGGAACTGTATACCCACGTGGGAAACCTGCAGGAAACTCCAGGCTCCTGACTTTGGATTGGCTTAGCTCTGTCCATTGCAAGCACTTGGGGAATGAAGCAGTGAATGGAAGATCTTTCTCTTTAACCTTCTCTCTGTAAATCTTTTTCTTATTTTTTTCTTAAAAAATAAAGATGTGAGGAAGAGAGAGAAATATCTTTCATCTGTCTGCTGATTCACTAGGCCCTAGATGCCACAACAGCCAGGCTTGGACCAGGCTGAAATCAGGAGCCAAAGTCTTCCAGGTCTCCCACTTGGGTAGCAGACACCCACGCACTTGAGCCACATTCTGCTACTTTTCCTAGGCCATTAGTGGGGACCTGAATTGGAAATAGAACAGCTGGGACACAAACTGGTATCCATATAGGATGCTGATGCTGCAGGCAACAATTTTATTGCTGTGCCACAAAGCTGACCCCAAGTTGGATGGTTTTATGATCGTGGCAGAAATTTCCTCTTACCTTTATCTTAATTGGTCTGAAAGCCAGTTTCAGTTCATTTCTTTGTTGTGCTCTGATTTTCTATCATTATAAACAGAAACTCATGTATAGGCATTGTTTTAAAATATTTTCTTATAACAGAGCTTGCATTGATTGATAATCTTCACACAAACTTTCAGTAACTACACCAAAATTTTATTTGAATCAGTATTTGGAAATAGACATTTGTTGAGATTTTGTTTGACTAGTAACCAAAAAAAAAAAAAAAAAAACTGGTAGCATTCAGAGAAGTTTATTTTTAATATGTATATAAAGAACTTAGGTTTTTAAAATGTATCAGGGCCAGTATTGTATAGTAGGTTAAGCCTATACCGCCAGCATACCGTATGGGTACCAGTTTGTGTCTTAGCTGCTCCATTTCTGATCCAGCTCCTTGCTAACGTGCCTGGGCAAGCAGCAGAAAATGGCCTAAGTATTTGGGCTCCTGCAACCTGTGTTAGAGGCCTGGAAGGAGTTCTAAGCTCCTGGATTTGACCTGATCCAACCCTCACCATTGCAACCATTGGAAGAATGAACCAGCAAGTGGAAGATCATTCAGATTGTCTCTCTCGCTTGCAATAAATAGCTAAGTCTTCAAATAAAAATGTATTTATATCCTAATGGTATAATTTTCAGTGAGCTTTATAAAGTTATATGTGTGCAAATAAAAATAGATCTAGAAAAACTCTTATCATTAATAGTTTACTACTGAGGACAATCCAAAATTGATTAAGTGACTGATCATCGGATTTGATTAATCTGTTACATGAGCAGGTTATATTTTTGGTGGCAGCTGAGGCCTGATTAAATTTTCTTACATTGTTTTGGAAAGAGGAGTCTTTCAAATAAAATTGAGGGGCAGAAGAAAGAGCAATCTATTTCATCTAGTTTGCACTTTTATAGGTTTTTTTTTTAACCATTTTCTCCCTTTTAAAAATGTCTTAAGGTGTAAGTGCTAACAAAATATTCATCAGAATTGTGTAAAAGACTGGTTTCGTGGGTATACTTCGGAGCTGGGTGGGTGTACATTGGAGTTGGCTTTTTTTTTTTTTTTAGTTTGTTAGTTTTGTAGTTGGGAATTACATTTGGTTTGATCTTTCCATGTTGACTTTCCTTTATTGTGCATAATTTGTTGAGCCTGTTGCTTTTTTACTCTTGTGGTCTGATACGGAAAGTCTGTTTCTCCAGAAATCTCATCTTATTTTGTCTGACCTTGTCTCTTACCTGCTTTTTAATGATTTTCTTAACACTTCTTATTATAGTATCTTCTGTGAATTCACTTAGCATGGTTCACAGCCTTTCTAAATAGGTATGACATTTGTCATCTTCATTTATTAAATGACTCTTACCTTAACTTACCTGACACTTTATACCCCTCCCTTTCTTTTCACACAGGTAAATCATCAATTCTCACTTAAATTAATAAAACTTCTTAATTAATGTGAGCAAAGCAAAAAATTAGATAATTTTAGTATATAAAAATGTGTTTATTGAATGTTAATACTTTTACCTTATTTTCCAGTAAAATGAAGAAATATGAAAAGGAATGTAATCTGGGGCTTAATAGAATATAAACTATTCTTGACTCTACATAGTCACTTCAACCATAATATTTTTTTAAAGATTTATTTATTTTTATTGCAAAGTCAGATACACAGAGAGGAGAGACAGAAAGGAAGATTTTCCGTTCAATGATTCACTCCCCAAGTGAGCACAATGGCCAGTACTTCGTCAATTCGAAGCCGGGAGTCAGGAGCTCTTCCAGTTCTCCCAAGCGGGTTCAGGATCCCAAAGCATTGGGCCGTCCTCGACTGCTTTCCCAGGCCACAAGCAGGGAGCTGGATGGGAAGCGGGGCCACCGGGATTAGAACCGGTGCCTGTGTGGGATCCTGGTGCGTTCAAGGCAAGGGCTTTAGCCACCATGCCGGGCCCCAACCATAACATTTTTGTCTAGTTTTTGCTCTCAGTGTTTTTGTGAGCTTTCCTGTGCATCTCATTTTCTTACATGTGTTGTTTTGCAGAATTCTCTGAGAGCAGGATTGGTTTTTGTCCCCCAGCTGTTGGTGTAGAACCCAGTTAGTTGGTTTAAATAGAAATACATTGGAATAAATTTGAATTTTCCTTTTTTTATCCCCTTCAGACCTGAAAATAATATCCTGATACTGATAATCAGTGGTTCAAGAAAAGCTATGCCAAAATCCTAAGGATTTTTACCTTTGTTACTTTTCCCTAGGGAAGTCTACCACACAAAGCGAATGCAGCACGTGATCTGTGTAAAATGGACTTCTGACAGCAAGTATATCATGTGTGGATCTGATGAAATGAACATTCGCCTGTGGAAAGCCAATGCTTCTGAAAAGCTGGGTGTGGTAAGACTGATTGTCATAAAGCTGCTTTCTGATTTTCTTGGCTGTCGTGTTTCAAAGATAATTTATTAACAGTACGTTAGTCATTTTGATCAAATTGAAGTAACGGATGAAAAAGGAGGTGAGTTGCAGCATAACAGACAAGACTGTATTGATTATTTTTTAAGTGAAGTTTCCATTCAGAGTGCTTTTGTTAGTTTATGTGCTTGAAATGTGAGCCTCTTAATTCTTTGTGTTTTGCATGAGGGGTAAGGAAAGAAAATTCAGGGACTTGGGACATGAAATGTCGGGGCACATATTTGTTCGGTTGGAAGAATAGCAATTGGTCAGATCAAAAGCTGCAGTCTTTAATATCTCTGTGCAGTCTTTAATATCCGCCACAGCAGCACACTTAAATAAGAAGTAAACACAGGACCTTTTTAAGACATTTACTGAAAATATAGCAAATACTGTCGCTGTTAGTTACTTTTGGATTGCAGAATTATTACTGATTTTTGTTTGTTCCTGCTAGTTTTAGAAAAGAAATATGCAAAGTGTTTATATCAGAAACAAATATTAAGAAGTAAAGGTTATTTCCTACTTAGCCTCGGCAGGAATATTAGGAAGAGCAGTAAAGGTAATTCTCATTTGGTTTTAATGATTGGTAAGTAATTATGTTTTTGTTTTTGTTTTTTTAAAGATTTATTTATTTATTGGAAAGTTAGATATACAGAAAAGAGGAGAGACAGAGAGGAAGATAAGTAATTATGTTTTGGGTCTAAACGTTTATAAATACAATTTATAGCCAGATTTTCTTTTATATGAGATAGAGTAAGATGGATGGAGTTCTCATCCATTATTTCTTTATTTAATTTCATTAAATTAAATTTTAGTTCATCATTAAATGTTGCTCTAAACGTATTGAAGGTTAGTTATGGAATTGAACACCTTTTTTCCCTCTTTGTTTCAGTCGTCTTCACCTCTAACCCACACCCAATATTGGAGTGATTGGTTTGATAATTGGTTTTGGTGCTTTTTTATGTTGTTTACACCTAAGATGATCCACATAGCCCTATTCTTTCAGAAGTTTTGTTTTTCACTTGATGACAGCTGCAGATGTTGGCCTAAAGGGAGATTTGTTGGTTACAGATTTACTGCTAGCAACAACCTTGTAAAGGACATTGGCAGTCTAGTTGGAGGGTAAAGCTGCTGCCTAACTTTGTCAGACTGAAACAAAATAAAGAATATGTTATTCACTGAGATACCAAAATGAATTTTTCAGCTTACATCACGAGAAAAGGCAGCCAATGATTATAACCAGAAGTTAAAGGAGAAGTTTAAACATCATCCTCATATAAAACGAATAGCTCGTCATCGACATCTGCCCAAGTCCATCTACAGCCAGATTCAGGAGCAGCGCATCATGAAGGAAGCCCGCCGACGAAAGTATGTTTCCTGGCATTCGATTTGTACCGCAGTGCCCTGTTACGCCCTCATCCCACCGAAAACAAACTGCTTTTTGTGCTTCTGTTTCTGGTTTTTTTTTTTTTTTTTTTTTTTTTTTTTTGAAAGGCAGATTTTACAGTTTTTCTGTCTGCTGGTTCACTCTCCAAATGACTGCAATAGTGAGAGCTGGCCTGATCCAAAGCTGGAAGGCAGGACCTTTCTTTTAGTCTCCCATGTGGATGCAGGCTCCCAAGGATTTGAGTCATCTCTTCTGCTTTCCCAGGCAATAAATGGGGAGTTGAGTTGGAAAAACAGCATTCAGGACAAGCCCTTGCAGGTGGAGGATTAGTCTGCTGTACCACAGTGCTAGCCCCACAAACTACCTTTGAAAGGACTAGTTTAAGTGCTAGTATATCTTGAATTTTTAAAGGCCTCTTTTTTTTTGTTTTTTTAATTTATTTGAAAGGCAGAGTGATGGAGACAAAAAGATTGTCCATCCTTTGATTGACTTCCCAGATATCTGCAGCAGCCAGATCTGAACCAGGCTGAACTCAGTATCGAAGAACTTAATCTTGGTTTCCTATGTGGGTGGCGGGGCCCAGGCACTTTGACCATCTTCTGTTGTCTTTAAGGCACACTAGCAGGAAACTGGATCAGGAGCGAAGATAGAACTCAGTGAGCACTTTAATAGGGGGTGCTGGTGTCATCTACTGCACCACAGCATTTACCCTAGATACGTTTTTAAAAACTTTTCTGGCCTTTTATTTTTCTCTCATTTGAAAAGTAAGAATTTTTATGACTCATTTTTTAATTTGTTTAAAATACATTTCATGAAAATGAATTGTCAAAATAAAAAATCTCATTTTAAAAATATAAATCATGTATGTTTTCAGAATGATTTATAATATAGCTGGAATTAAGAAATATGATGTATTTTCTAAGTTAAAGAATGTAAAGAGCTTAGAGTGCATTTTTCTTAAGTAAAAGTTTTTCTGATATGCTTTGTCCTGACATCTAAGATGTAATGCAGAACTCCACCACCACCACCATTCCCTGTGGGATTGGGGATCCTATTGAAACACATACTTCATGCAAAGTAGTATAGAAATTCTGAGAAGCTTTTTATAAAAATTAGGTTGTACAACAAAGTGTAACTGTGGCATATTTTTAAATTTAGTAGAAGACACTGATAAAGTTTATTTCTAGTGACTGTCTGCCTTGTACCTGTTTTCGTTGTGAAAATGTTTTGTCTCAGTAGATGTTGTCCAGTGATAGAAAATAGTGTATGATTTTTTTTTGAGAAAGTCTGCTTTGGATGAGATGATTTTTCATGAGCTTACTTATGTTTTATTCATTTCTAGGGAAGTGAATCGCCGTAAACATAGCAAGCCTGGATCAGTGCCAATTGTGTCAGAGAGGAAGAAGCACGTAGTGGCAGTTGTAAAGTAATATTTGGTATTCCTGCTAATCCTGATATGAAGCTGTTTACTTTTGACTTGGTGATTCTGCAAATAAAAGCGCTCTGTTTAGTAGTATTTATTTCAGTTACATATGTGGGCTCTTCTTGTTTTTCGGCTACCCTGCACAATGACCCTTAAAGGGTAGCCTGATTGGTTGGACTGCCTAATATTTTATCCTTAATCTGCTTTAATTTTTCATGAAAGAATTTGCAATATTTGCAACTCACTTATTTTCTTGCTGTTAAAACTTTTCCCCTGATAGATTATAGACAGTCTGCGTTTGCATTTACTTTTTAAACATTTAGAAGAATTATGATAGAACTTTTTGAGCTGAATTTCTCTCCCATGTTGTATTCATATTTGGCCTTTCTAGGCCTTAAATATGAACAACCTGCATTTTTATAAGTAATACTAATTGTAATTCGTGGTCAGGATAATAAAACATGCTTTTTCTCAGCATTGAAACTTTGATGATCTGTTTCTGGTAAATCATTATCTGCGTAACAAACTTTATTATAAGTACTCATATGTACATACACACACACACACACATATATATATATATACTGATTTTTAGTTAAGAGACCTTTAAAAAAAAGTGAAAGACTTTTTAACAATACATACTTGTAGCAAAAAAATGTAAATGTGCCGCAGTGGTGAATATCAGTATCTGGAGGTTGGGCACAGAATCCCTTGGGGGGCGTGTCCTAATGGTTACAGCTCAAGTTTTGCGTCTGAGGCTGTGTATAAATTCTACTTTTATAAAGCTTTTTTGATAAGTATTTTATATTCTTTTTCCTAAGACTGATATGAGATCACCCACTTGTGTTTTAATTCTAATGTTGTCGGTATCATATTACTTGATTTCTTAAGGTGAGCACACATCTCTTATGCACCCATATGATTGTTAGTTTGGATGTGGTATCAAAGAATATGCAAATATTCGTCCATAATCATGATTCTCTGTCATTTTGAGTCCAAGAAACAGATGCGAGATGGGGTTAGCCGTGCGAGAATTTGACTGGAAGAATCTTGAAGGATGAAGGAGAGAGTAGGAGTCGGCATGGAGACCTTTCCTGCTGTGTTGCAGAGATTGACACTTAGGACAGAAGAGAAGAGGGTTGCTCAGAATCTCAGGAGAGTGCTGGAACAGATTGGGTCAGGCTGATGGGCATCCCTCACAGTGCTGTCCATGACAGGGAGTAGCCTGAGGCCCAGGTAGGTGCAGTGGGCACCGTAGGGATGGCAGCTGGGGCTGACAGCTCTGCTTCCTGCACAACGGTGCTCAGCGCCATGTCGCTGTCACTGCTCCAATCTTGGCCCTGCACACATCTACCTTACCTCTCCTTGCAGGTTTAGGTAGACACTCCGCCAGCGTTCCCTTATGCTTCTTGGAAGACTGTGATCAGGTGCCCCATAGCTGCCTTTGCAGGGCTGCCATGGGGGGCCTCAATACCATCTCCCTCTGCAAATTCGGAGCAGGCTATTAATACAGAGGGGGAAATTTCCGGAAGGAAAGCCGTTTCATCGTCTAACAGTGTCTTAACCTTTACAGAGAATGAGCTTCTTTTCTTACAGCCTCTTCTGCATAAGCACTTGTAGTCACCAAGGCCAGTTTTCAGCTGATTTTCAGTGGTAGATAGAACAAGTCCATTCTCTTCTCTTTGCACCACTTTATTCTTGGCTTTCTCTTTCTTTTCTGTATTCCTTGCTTATGTTTTGGCTGATGTAAAATCTGATGACTTTAGCCCAGTGACCTTGTTAATGTACATACAGCCTAGAGTTGAGTAACCGTAGGCTGATGTCGGCAGGCCATTTGACGTTACTGCCTGGAGAAGTGCTACCTGCTGAGTCACCGGCACTGCCTCCTGTTACAACCTGTGCTTTCCATAGTGATGTCGCCAGGACTTCAACACCACTGAGCCTGACTAGCTAAAGATAAGAGGGATTTTTCCTGTGATTCAAACCTTTCCTCAATCTAGAAATGGGGGTATGATTTTGACATTTTGAAATGTAACTCTAGCAGTCCAAGATTTTTTAAACCAAATACAGGAAACTGGTTTTTTTTAAAAGATTTCTTTATTATTTTTATTCAAAAGTCAGATATACAGAGAGGAGGAGAGACAGGAGTCTGCTGATTCACTCCCCAAGTGGCCACAATAGCTGGAGTTGAGCAGATCTGAAGCCAGGAGCCCAGAGCTTCTTTCAGGTCTCCCACATGGGTGCAGGGTCCCAAGCTTTGGGCCATCCTGCACTGTTTCTCCAGGCCACAAGCAGGGAGCTCAGTGAGAAGTGGGACTGCCGGGACAGGAACAGGTGCCTGTATGGGATCCCAGAACATTTAAGATGAGGACTTCAGCCACTACACTTCCGCACTGGGCCCCACACAGATATTAAAAAGTGAAGTTGTTAATGCAGAACCTGGAAGAGAAGGATACAAAAATGGTGGCCACATGAAAGGGTTACTTAAGAAGACAGAAATCTAAGCAAATAGAAGTCATTTACAGTAATTCCTCACAGAAGGCATTTGGCACAATTATATATAATAGTATACTCAATAACAGGTTGTTATTAAGTTCTGCCACTTGATTGAATCTATATTATCAACTAATAAAACTAGGCTAGGCACTTTGCTTATTCAACCTATCTTTTTTTTTTTTTTTTTTTTAAATAAGTAAATGAAAAGTGTCTGCTGGGTTCTGGCCAGGCTAACCCACATGGATCTCCATCAGGGTTTCCCATGTGGATGAAGGGCAGGGGCCCACGCACTTGTGCTTTCCCAGACACCTTAGCAGGGAGCTGGGTTGGAAGTGGAGCTACTGGAACTTGAACCAGTGCTCTTCAGTTATGCCAGCAGACAGCAGCTTAATCCACCATGCTATGTCCCCTACTCCTCAACTTGTTCTTTCACAATCCCTGCTCATATTTTCAGAAAAAGGAGAAGATCTGGGCATCACTATGTCATGAGCAAGAAGGAGTAAACAAAAAATCAAAGAATCTTATGATCAGCTTAGATATTTGAGCAATGAACCTAAAAAGGATTGCAACCCACTAAACAATAATTTATATAGAGCTCTCCAGCCAAATATTAGAAAATAATTAAATATTTGATGATAGACATATAAAGGGTCAGTGTTTTTCAATGTTATGGTATAATGGCTGATGTGAGTTCAAACGTTTTAATCCCTTTTAAAGTTCTTAAATAGCTATAATTGATTCAGGACCAGCCAATTACTCCTGAATGAGTGAATGATTTATTGAAGAGTATCCTGAAATCAGTATGTATGGAATCCCGGCCAAGTTTGTGTGTGTGTGAGAGACAGAGAGAATGGCAATACCAGCTTTATACCTGGATCTCTTTACAAATACTGAAGCTAACATCCAGAAATAACCTCATTATGTTATTTCACTCCCTAAATTTTCTTTCCTGCATTGGTTATATTCAAATATTCAACATACCACCCACAGAGCTATCACCAAGTCAAGAAACCTGGGTAGAAAGGTACAAATGGTATTGATGGTATTACTATCAATAGTGGCTTATGTTTACTGCACACTTAGAACACTGCAAAACATTTAATACACTTAATTTAAATTAATTTGTCTCTAATCCTTTGAAAGGAAGATATTATTATCCATAGTCTCTATTCTGCATTCAACCTATAAAAGATTGTGAAAAAAGCTTGGTCTCAATGCCCGGGGCAATAGTGTGGTGGTTAAAGTCCTCACTTTGTATGCACTGGGATCCCATATGGGTGCCAGTTGTAATCCCCACGGCCCGCTCCACTTCCAGCTTCCTGCTAATGGCCTGGGAAATCATTCGAGGATGGCCCAAAGCTTTGGGACCCTGCACCCATGTGGGAGACCTGAAAGAGCTCCTAGCTCCTGGCTTCGCATTGGTCAACTCCAGTCATTGCACTTATTTTGGGAGTGAACCATCGGACAGAAGATCTTCCTCTCTGTCTCCTCTCTGTAAATCTGCTTTTCCAATAAAAATAAATCTTTTTTTAAAAAGCTTGGTCTCAAAAGAGTAATATGGGGCCAATTGCAGTAGCCTGCCGGCTAAAGTCCTCACCTTGAATGCGCCGGGATCCCATATGGGCTCTGGTTCTAATCCTGTCAGCCCCACTTCCCATCCACCTCCCTGCCTGTGGCCTGGGAAGGCAATTGAGGATGGCCCGGGGCCTTAGGACCCTGCACCCACATGGGAGACCTGGAAGAGGCTCTGGGTTTCTGGCTTTGGATCGGCTCAGCTCCAGCCATTACAGCAACTTAGGGAGTGAATCAGAGGATGGAAGATTTTCCTCTCTTCTCTCCTCCTCTCTGTATATCTGACTTTCCAATATAAATAAATAAATAAATAAAATCTTAAAAACACACACAGACACAAAAGCATTCTACCAATTGTAGAAACCTGACTTCCTACTGTGGAAGAAAAAAGCTCCCCCAAAGGTGCACAATATATTTTAAGTACCATCTAGTTCTGGTCTGTTGCATGGATGAATAGAAATGCAATAGGTCTGGTTTCAAAGTAAGTCTGATACCTCATTCTGATATATTACTATTAGTTCTTCAACAATACTACATTATCAGGAATTTAATGCCCAGGTCTAATAATACTTAAGTTTGAAGCTGATGTTCTTCAGGAAGATAGGCAAATTGTGAGACAGAAATTTCATTAAGAAGTACAAAAGAATCAGAAAACATAGGGCAGAGGACAAAAAGAGTATATGAAAGTGGGTGTGAGGAATAGAGGCACCAAGCCAGAGCAAGGTACACTGCAGGTTCTAGTGGATGGGCCTGTGAGAAAGAAAGCCAGTAGAAACAGAAAATAGGCTTCCAGCAGGTGCAAGTAACTCATACTCTTACATACACAAAGGATCAGAGCAATTTACAAGCAAAAAAGTGGAGACATACCTTCTGATCTTGATCCTATGATTTGCCCAATCAAAGAAGAAAGATGTTTCTTGGGGCTAGTTTCAAATATTTGCCTGAATGATTTTGAGTCACTCTCCTGTTACTAAAGTTGTCCCTGTTTGTTGCAACTGAACAAGATGAAATACCTAGGAGTTTGGTTAA